AAGATTATGCTGATCGCTAATGTTGCGAATCAGTCATCGAATCTGTAAGCCAACCGCGCGCATATGCACAAGAAGTACATTGACCATCATCTGCACTTGATATTTCCTTCTCATTCACATCTCTTGGACATCTCATGAGCCACGGAGAATCTCCGCGGAGGCAATTGAAGAAGCAATAGAAGCGCATTTTATGATCATTATACGAGCAAAATATAGCTATTTAGTGTCTCTTAAGATGCATCAAAGTGGCAATTCAAGGCACAAGAGAGAAAAGGCTTTCTTTCCACAACCGCGGACCAATCTGTGTCTCGAGACTCACGCGGAGGTGAAATCATGCAGAACTGATGATAATTGAAGGCTTGGGAACCCCATTCAACAGATTTCGCCCGCGCATTTCACATCGTGATACCTATCACTATTCCTATCACTCCTCCTATATTGCATAACATCAATTCCACCTCCTTCGGGGGTTTATCGCTCCATGGAAATTTGTACAAATCATACCCAGTGTGATTTATGACATTCTATTGTGAGAACTCCCTCACTCTCTCTCTCTCTCTCTCTCTCGCTCACCCAGCACACCATCGAGAGACTTGGTATGCAGAGATCATAGAGGAAACATTAGCATTCCAAGAAATCATTATATTCTCAAATCGCTCAGCATAAATTCGTGAATGAAATCCAATTAAAAAACAACTCTCCAGCGACAAAATTCACCAAACTGAAGAAGTGCTAAATAGAATCACACCTCAATCAATGGGGTTTTCGATTGAGAATTTGCTGCTCGACTTCCCATCTTAATAGGAGTTTGTGGAAGAAGTTAGTGAATCCCCAAAGCATAACATCGAAAAAAAAGAGTCAACATTAAAATTATAACAATATAAATTGTTTAAGCAAATTTATTGCATTCGTGATCGCCATCAATCATATCGACTGTTCAACTCAACAGCACGAGAGCAGAACATTAAAATTCATTGTATGATAAGTGACACAACGAAAAAGTCAAATGAAAATGAAAAAGAATAAATAAAATGCCATTGTCAGACTCTAAAGTGGAGGGCAGAATGAGTAAACGAGTATTTAGTGTTTATGAATATTTAAAAAGAATGGTTAAGTGCTCATGATAGTGAAATGGGAACATGGCAAGAACAATTGGTTTTTAGGTAATTTTGCTGCCGCTTCAACACATTCGCCACTATAAAGTTATGTGTTTCAGGCACGCGATCATAGGAGAAGAAATTGCTGCTCAACAGATCAACAACTCATCATAATTCATGCGTCTTTTTTTGCCAAAAACCGGATCTTCTCTGGATTTTCAGTACTATTATGCAACATTTAGCCACTTCTCCTTCAATTGACAAAATATATGGAAGTGCTTGAGAGAGTGATGAAGAGCCCAAGACCAATGTTTACACCATAATTATGTTTACATGACTTAACAGTACTAATTAGTGGGTTAAGAATAAGTATTCTTTAGATCTTCTTCTCACTTTTTTTTACACCCTTTTCTTCTACAAACACACGCACAGCACTCGATTTAGGCATAAGAGTGCGAGAAAAGGCATTTCGGAGGATGATTCTCCTGAAGATAATGTTCTGAGGCGTTTAAAATGCGATAATTGCTGTGACTTCAAGTGTGTCGGACTTGACGGGTGAAATATTGATTCAGTGATTCTTTCATAAGTTTGATGTTATGTTTCTTTTTCCCTCTGCATTTACACAACATTTTCACCTTTTCAACGTATATGACGCTGTCGAGTGGACCTCTGTGCGTTCTCTCTTAAGAAGATGTTATTATTATCTAAATCACATGCAAGACGAATGATTCATTTATCTCAATATAACTTTCTTATTCATTTTCGTGTTGTCATCATATGCAAATGCCATCGAGATTTGTGTTGACGCTACCTTCTTGACCGTGACTCTCGTCTTCGGACTCCATATATTTGCCTTGACATGCGACAAGGAGCGCATTATATCAAATGCACCTTCTTCTTCCCTGCAGTTCTTCCATAACCTTTACCCATCCCAGCTGAAGCCCATTAACACACCGAGAAGAGTGGCTCTATTGGCATAAGAAATACACGGCGCGCGAGTCACATTTTCCACCACTGATTAACTCTGGGCTTTTTTCTTATTCCAGATTCCAGGCATTTACTGCACACTTCACAAGAGGGATTTGTGTCTCACTCCATTGGAGAATCTCTGTGGCCACAAGTGGCGGCCAGGAGGGCCGTAATAATAGATACATGAGCCAACTAACTCTAGCCCGTCACATTGTAGTGCATGGAAGACACTCTGCTGAACACACACAATTCCCTCCATCTCACTCTCACCGTCTTGCAACAGAGGCACAGCGAATAGTTCTAGAGTCAATGACTGTGGCGATCGCTTACTTAATGGTGTGTTTTATGTCTGTGCAAAACTTGATGACGATTGGCAATCAAGGTGTCGGCGGAACTTATGAAATGGCCAAGCAAATGTTGGAGAGAAATGATCTGACAAGAACCTATTATAAACCATGCATTTTTCCACGAATTTGACGTGCTTCGTTTGCCGATCATTGAGCAAAACCATCGTGACTTTCCCACCCACACACTCTGTGTGCCAATAACTGTGCAACAGGTTGGAAAATAGGAATTGATTTCTTTGGGAAAATATCATAGACATCCCCCTTGATTTTCTGCACAAAACACTTCTTCAAAGACATATTAAATGTCTGACTTGATATTGCTCGACTTGACATGGAATTTATGAGTGTTTGATTTTCTGACAAAGAGTCAATTTATTTGCCAATTGCCACAATTGTAGTTTCTGGACTGTGTTTCAGCGGAGAAAAAAAATTGTGCGCAAAATGCTATAAAGAAAATTTATTCGAACCAAAAAGGCTCACATTATTCTCTTCTGAATGACTTCTTAATTTTCCGTGCTGCTCAGATATTTCTTGTTCAAATTTCCAAATATATTTTCTTCCATTAAAAGAACATTTCAATGCTTGAATGCTCTTGCAACTGATTTTGCATTTCTCATACTTTCCTTCAATCCACACGCTTCTGCTGAGCACAAAGCTGAGCATTCTTATCTAATAATGTATCTCTTCTCCGGCTTGAATTTAAATTCACGCAATTAAGAGTGTGTAATGTAAATATTTCTTCTCTGGGCAATGTTTACAAACCAATTTGTCACATTAATTAAGCAAAGTCATTTATTTTTTCGCCGATTTGTGCGTGTCACACACTCCATATCGGCGGCATGTTGATGAATTCGCCAAAGTGGCTCTCTGCAGATGAAGTAAGTGGCGCGAAGATGTGTGGGTGATTTTGTGTAATTTGGTAAATAACATCTGTTGCCTTGCTAATCGTCACTCATTCTTCAAACTTCTTCCACATGCTCACAAAACCCCCAAATAGCAAATGGCTTTTCTCGTCAGAAGCACTCAAAACTCTCGCCATGAGAGCGCGAGTGAGAAAAATATTAAATTAATGTGATTGCAAGTGGTTATTGTGATTGGCTCCGTCGCCTTTTTATGCGCGATTTTTTCCTCTTAATTATTGATTTCCCGGTGGAAAAAAAGTGGCATTTTTACACACTATTAATTACCACGACCTAAAGATGTGACCTTTCTCATATTTTCTGCGTCTGTCAATTGAATGATTGCTCTTTCGCTTCTTTTTTTCTTCGATTGTTCACCAACTTGAAGATGAAAAATTAATACAATTTAATCATATTTTTACAACGAAACATTAAAACATTATACGCATTTTTTATACGCTGATATCTTGCAAAAACAACAAAATGTTGCACAATAACAAGAAAAGGAAGGAATTTCCATCTCACGAACATTGCCAAATTTATTGTGGAGATGAATTTAATGAAATCAACGGTCATATCGATGTAATTCTTAAGCTAAAACTCCGACAAAGAGACGCAGAAGAAGCAAAAAAAATTAGTTTCGCGCTCAATTTAACATAATTAAAAGTGAAATGTACATGAAATTGAATTATCCCCCCCGAAATTCACGTTTGACCGAATTGGTGAAAGGAAGAATTGAATGATGTTCATCCAAGGAAGGCGAACTTCTTGGCCTGAATCGTCAAAGAGACGTCTCTTTGAGAGCCTTTATCTCATATTTCTCCGCTGCCACAGAATGATTCTGTGAGCGGTAGAGAGAAAAAACGCACATGCGTTGCGTCAATCGTTCTGGAGGAGAGGAAACGGCGCCTTTTGTTGTATAATTAGAAAAGCGATTGAATTTGAGATATTACCAACTCTTTTTTCCACCATTAATAGCCGCATTTAATGGTCGGCTGCCTTTTTTACGGCCACAAGGAATAAAGTCTCGCTTGGGCCGCAAACTCGTGGTCAATTCAATTAAATTCATGAATTGATTAACAACATTCTTTGTCGCATCCTAAGGAAATTTATGTTACTGTGAAGTGAGATTGAATAATCCCAACTTGTGCGCGCATATGATTACCCAGAAGAGATGCTTTATGAACTGTGACACCCTCAAAGGGAACGCTTGGAAAAATAAACAGGAGTCTTTTGGAAGAAATACTGTAACATATGTTGAGAAATTTATTCCGCGAAGTGTCGGATTGAAAGGAAATCTTACTGGAAACCAAAAGTCGGCAAGCTTTAAAATTTAATAGAAAACATTTCAGAGCTTTTTGAGGGAATTTTCCTTTCCCTCAAATTTTTCTAGATTTTCAGAATAAATCGTCTGTATTTTCTTTTAAGTGGAGAATTAAATTTCTTAGGCAAAATTAAAGAAGCTTCAACTGTTTATAAATTCCATAACTCATCAAAATATGCAAAATATCATCAGCATAAAACAAGGATATCTTCAGAGCGCATTTGCCTCAAAAGTGTCGTTCTTAATAAATGGGAAGAAAAGTAGTAAAAAAGTGCATGTAAATCTCGGGGACGTCCTGAAATTTACGACACACAAAATGACGCCGAGGAAGAAGAGGAGAAGAATTAGCATTCGAGGGACTCACATTTAAAATCGGGGCACTTATTTGTGGTCGCTTCTTCTCCTTGCCGCAGAGGCAGTTCCAGGACATCGTGGAGCAGGAGAGGATGTGTTCTTGGCAGTCTCTGTCTCAAGACGGAATCATTTCACTCGATTTCCTCCTCTCGGGGCGCGCGCAATTATACTTCGAAATAAAAAATCACACAATTTGCATACAATTGATTTTCGCGGTAGAAAAAAAAATCACGTTTTCACTCGATATTCTCACGCGAGGGTTCAAAATTCCCCGCCTTTCACTCTGTTTTTAGCACCCTAACTGTCTAATCTAATTATTGACTACATTTTTTCTCAGTTTATCGAACACTCCAGCGCGGATTTCTTGGGATGATCTTGGAATTGTGGTCCAGGAAAAGGCGAGAAACAACCACTCTCTTCGAAAGCTGGCGGCAAACTGAAAACACAACACCGCAAACCTTCCTTTTCCCGGCACGGCGCTTCTTCCATCTCACTCTCGCCGCCCTTTCCCGCGTGACATCACCCTGAAAAGCACGTGTTTTACGAAGATATCAACAAATATTCCAATCAGCAATACCACTAATAATCCGTGTAAACAATTTTCATACACAATCATGACAATTATCAATGGATTTTCGAGGAAAATCCTCACAAAATGTTTGTTTTCTTGCGGCAATTTTTGAAACACTCTGTTTGTCCCACATGTTGTCCCATTAGTTTTCATATAACGTCCCACATGTCACAGTGTATTTTTTATTCGTGTGGACTGGATGTGATTTTGCAGAATTTTCTTCTGTTGGCTTTTCGCAAACGGAAAATGGCCAAAAACACCTCAATCGCCTTTCCTCAGTGATGTACGAAGTGTTGTGATCCCCAACTGTGTTGTGAACGTGACAGTAAAGGTTCGAAAAACGATGGACAAGAATCCCTTCTCGGGTCTCCTAACCTCAAAAAGTCAGAAGGAATCGGAAAACACAACTCGCGGAAATCCTGGCAATATGATGGCGACGAGGGTAAATAACCTGATCGAGAAGGTGCTCCTAGTGACGCTGAACAAGAGTCCGCCACGCGGACGAAAGCTGGTCTTCTTGGAAGAACTTGCAGAGAGAGAGACTGTGCTCAGTGCGGAGCTGGTCTCTCTGGCGCTCTTCGAGAGACTCCTGCTGTCCAATCCGGGTGATTTCCTGGTGCCCACGGACGGCGAGGAGGGGGACTGTGGATCAGTGGCTGAGAATGAGGTATTTTTGTACCTCTGCGAGTGTTTGCAGCGATCAGAGTGTACCCGGGATGACAATGACAGCGTCACGATAGAGATTTGCGATAAGATCTCCGAGGCCATCATCCAGAACGCCAGCACGGCATTCAGGCAGCCCGATCTGTATTCCGGACAGAATTTGTCTGACCAACTGACGCGAATGTTCAGCTCACCGACGAGCGATATCCAGATAGAGGCCAAGTTCCTGGGTCTTGTGGCGAAAGAAGTGGTGTCATCGGAGACTGAGGAGGAGGGCATGGCCATGCTGAAGAAGGTCATCTACCCCTTCCTGCAGGACATCAGGCAGAAGGTGAGCAGGGCGTCTCTCGTGTCGCTGGACGTGTGGATTCTGCCCACTTTGGGCGCATTCGTCAGCGACAAGACAAACACAGTCATGGGAAATCTCTTGCTGGACTTCACCACGCCGCAGAAGACGCCCGTCAGCGGAGTGGCTTTCGCCGAGAGTCTCCTGGGACAGCTGCTCTCCCTCTCGCTCGCTCCGAAGCGCGACGAGGGTCAGTTTGAGTATTATGACAACCCAACAGAGGCGCCCTCGTCCAATCTCACGTCCTCGCTCTGGAGCTGCCTGAAGTCGCTGCAGGACGAGCTGCATGTAATCTTCAAGGGCTTCCTGGTGATGGGCGGCAGTGTGCGCGCGAAGGCTCTCACATGGATTGGCGATTGTCTGCACGTGAACTTCCGCCGCGGCCAGATCTGGAATGCTCACGCGATGCCACTTCTCTCTGGCGAGCGAAACGCCAGCGATGCCTTCACCATTGGCCTGGCCAGCGTTCTGCTGCGCCTCTGCCAGCCACTGCTGAAGCCTCAGCTAAAAGTGCTGCTCGTCGATCCGACCTACGCGTGCGTGCCGGAGGATCAGCGCGCCTCTCGCGACGTCCACATGCAATCTGTGGACAAAGAGACGTGTCTTCTACCCACGGCCGAGGGTGAAACGCGTCCGATGGCGCAAAAGTACAACTTCATCACCGAGTGCTTCTTCATGGCGCACAAAGCCATCGATCTGGGCTATAGAGTCGTCATTGAGAAGATTATGCGACTCAACAGGGACATTCACCGCATTCAGGCGGCTTATCAGGACCAGGCGGGCGGCGGAAATATGGACGCGGCGGTCAACATCCTGCAGACGCTTACGCTGCAGAGTCAGAAGTACTTTTGCCTGCAGAATCTGATCCTGGAGCCCACGAATGACGGCCTGTTGATGCAATTTTACGAGGCCACGGCCATTTGGCTGGGCCAGATTGTTGTGGCGTCAGACAAATCGTCCGTCAGTGCCTCCTATGCGCCCCAGACCATCCAAGAGGTGATACTGCCCATTGACTGCCCCCCATCGCCTCTTCTCAAATGCATTCCCGAATTCGTCGTGGAGAACGTCGTCGAATTTCTCACGTTCATTCGCATCTTTGACGCTCAGCGCACTGAAAGTCACCCGGAGGCGAGGAATGAGATCTTCACCATGATCCTCATGTTCATGGGTAGCTCCGAGAGGGTGAAGAATCCCCATTTGCGCGCCAGACTCGCCGAGGGACTCGAGTGTCTGTTGCCGAAGGAGAATCAGGCAATCTTCCATACAAATCTCTTTCACACGCACCAGCACCGCCTGGAGCTCATTCCCAATCTGCTGCGCGTGTTCGTGGGCATAGAGATGACTGGAGAGAATGTGCAGTTTGAGCAGAAGTTCAACTACAGGCGTCCAATGTACGTGATCATGGAGTTTGCGTGGCGCGTGGAGGATCACAAGGAGCGCTTCAAGGCGCTCGCCATTGAGGCAGAGAAGAACATAGAGGCAGTGAATCCGCCACTCTTCCTCAGATTCATCAATTTGCTGATCAACGACGCCATTTTTCTGTTGGATGAGTCACTGAACAATCTGCAGCAGATTCGTACGCTTCAGGCAGCTCAGGATGCGGGCGATTGGAACAGTTTGCCGGCCAATGAGAGGCAGCAGAATATGGCGAATCTGCAGCATCTGGGCATGATGGCGAGGTTCGATAACATCCTCGGCAGGGACACGATTAAGATGCTGAAGCTCCTGACCACGGAGATCAAGGGCATCTTCTGCGACAGATCGATGGTGGACAGAGTGGCGGCGATGCTCAACTACTTTCTGCTCAATCTTGTGGGACCCAAGAAGGGGAATTTCAAGGTAAGATTCCGCACTTCTGGACTCATTTCTCTGACCGGCTAATGAGATAAAATGTCTTGCAGGTGAAGCACAAGAAGGAATTTGAGTTCGATCCGGCAAATACGGTTCTGCAGATCTGTCAAATTTACGCCAATCTGCAAGAATGCCAGGCTTTCTGCTTGGCTGTCTCCCAAGATGGACGATCGTACAGTCACAAGCTCTTCGAGTACGCCGAGCAAGTTCTCAGTGAGTATTCCCAGCTGTTGGCGAAATACGCGTTCTTCCCTGTCTGTAACATCCCCAATATTCCTTCTTCCAGTCCGCATCGGAGGCGGTCAGCTGATTGGGGAGATTCAGGAGTTTGCCGCGAAGGTGCAGCGAATTGATCAGCAGCACAAAGAGGACCAAGAAGCACTCGCGGATGTGCCGGATGAATTCCTGGACACCCTCATGTTAACCCTGATGACAGATCCAGTGATTTTGCCCAGTTCGCGCGTCAGAGTCGACCGCCCCACCATCGCCAGGCATCTGCTGAGCGACCAGACGGATCCCTTCAACAGGTCGCCGCTCACGATGGATCAGGTGGTGCCGGACGAGGAGCTGAAGCGGCGCGTGCATGAGTGGATCAAGGAGAGACGTGAGGCGTACAAGGCGGAGCCAAAAGATGCTTAAAGTGATTCCTAGGCATTAATTATTAAGAGTGTACATATGTAAAGGAGACAACTTATGGATTATTTGAATGCACGGAGCATTAAATGGAGTAACATCACAGAAAGGTGAATTGTGAGGGAGGCCACACTTTGGCCACGGCGCGGCTGTTGATGAGGCCCTGTGGCACGGCTCCGTAGTACCTGGAGTCGGCGCTGTTATCCTTGTTGTCGCCCTCGAGCCACACGTGGCCTCGTGGGATGCGAATCTTCTTCATTTGGCCCTTCAGCTGCTCAATTCTCTCTTGCTCAGTCGGCGTGAGTGTGCTCTCCTGGCCAGCGATGGCTGACACATTGATACTGGAGGAGTTCTTCAGATCACCAGGCATTCCGGCGAGGATTCGGTCGCCGGCCACGGCGAACACCCTCTTACAGATGATCTTGGTGGGATGAGTGGGAGAGATTGCTGTTATTACATCACCACGATCGACGCGATTGCGCCGACAGCTGACTTTCTCCGTGAGCAGTACATCTCCTGAGTATATGGTGGGCTCCATCGAAGGTCCCGAACACTGAGGAGGGCACAAAAGAATGCCGCAAAGGTAAGTCTGGAGATTTTTCTACCTCAACATAACCACACTTTACTCACATAAACGAAATCAACGAGGTATGTGAAGGTACAGTGGCCAATGCAGGCGTATTTCAGGACTTTGCCACAGATAGAGAGGGTTTTGTAGAACTTCTTCCGGGCAAACATGGCTGAATATCCCCAAAAATGATGAAATGAAGAGTCTTCATGCGAAAAACAGACGTTTTCAAAACAATACACTTTGACTGACTGTCCCAAAATGATTCTACAATGAGCCACGGCGCTGATGATGAGGAATTTTTGGGGGTTCCCCAAGAGTTTCGCCGATTTTGACTGTCCCAAAATGATTCTCTATAACGCCGTATGGCGCTGTTCGATGGTGCCGCGTGGTAAATGAAGTCGTGAGAAAGATAAGTGCTGTGAAATGAATGTTATTTACCAAATATTGGGCATTGGGTTCATTGTGTTGCTCGTACTCGGGATGTTGATCGCTATCTATGAACGTCTGTTTGGTCCGATTGATCGGACAGATCGGACAAATGAACAGATAACAAAGATACACAGTCTCTATACGTGTACAGTTCAGTATTGTTCGATGTGTGAAGAAGAACAACAACAATTGAATCGACAACGAGAACGGGAATGGGCATGGGCACGGGAACAAGAATATTTGGAAAAACAGCGTCAACAACAAGTTAGACGAGAACGAGAGCGCCAGGAACAAGAGCGACAGAAAATAGAGCGCCGGGAACGAGCGCGACAGGAATTAGCGCGCTGGACACGAGAGCAACAGCTGCGAGAACGGCAGGAGCGAGAGCGGCAAGAACGAGAGCGACAGGAATTTGAACGCCGGGAACGAGAGCGACAGGAATTAGAGCGCCGGAAACGAGAGCAACAGCTGCGAGAACGGCAGGAGCGAGAGCGGCAGGAACGAGAGCGACAGGAATTTGAACGCCAAGAACGAGAGCGACAGGAAGTAGAGCGCCGGGAACGAGAGCGACAGGAATTAATGAGACGGAAACGAGCACAACAGAAGCGAAAGCGACAGGAGCGTAAACGCCGGAAACCAAAAATCAAAATGACGTGGTCAATAGCTTCTCTTGTGGCAGAGATTGAAGGTATCAAGGCTGGAGTGGCTAAAAAAATTGATGAACTCTGCAGACAGAATAACACGATTTCCTTCATTTGTCGCTATCGAAGTCACATGATAGGTAATTTAAAGGCTCAAAAAATTCGTCAGATTAGGGAAACATTTGCTAATAAATCAATGCTTAAGGAAAGAGTCAATGGTGTCGCGAAAATACTCCACAAATCAAATGTCTTGACTGACGATTTACGGAGAATGATTTCACGAGTCAAGTCAATTGAGCAATTGGATTACATTTACGATATTTACAAGCCGTCTGGTAAAAAATGGCTGGAAAAAGTTGCCACTAAACTCGGATTATTGCGACCTGCAAAAAAAATCTTCGCTGGAAATACTTTGGTGAACTTTAACCAATACGTGAATCATTCTGTAAAGCAATTGAACACAGTCACCAAAGTGGAGACTGGAATTGCAATTCTCGTCGCCAGTCTCATGATGAAGAGTGAGAAGATGCTGAAGTTAATTCAAGTGATGACAAAGAATGCAAAAAATGATTCGATTGAACTTCATTCCACTCAAGCTAAAGGAAAGACGTCACAGAATTCTTCGGATTTCAGCAAATATGAGCTGTATTTTGACTTTAAAGCGAAGATCTCAAATCTTACGCATTATCAAGTTCTAACCATCAATCGAGGAGACAAGAATAAGAAATTGCTAGTGCATATTGTAATTCCTACTAAAACAAGGAAAAATCACAAAGAATCTATATTTATGATGTTCAAAGGGCAAACAAACAGCACTCCAAAGCGAAATAAATACCTAAGAAAAATCATAAATGAGATGTACAGTAGAAAAAGTAAGTAAGTATATTTATAAAATTATTCACACAATTAACTCGAGGTTTCCTTTCTTGCAGTCGTGCCTTTGATAACTAAGCAAATCCGTCAAGACATAACAAAAGACGCTGTGAATGCCGCAATCCAATATTACGCAGATAGTTATTGGCAATATATTCTCATGTCGAATGAGAAAATCCTAGGAATCGATCCAGGCTTCGCTGACGGCTGCAAACTCGCAATGATATCTGAGGATGGCGAAGTTTTGGACACCACAGTGATCTATCCTCACTCTCAGATAGTCGACAGAAGAGCCAGGAAGTTTGTTTTAAATGCTTTAAACCACGCAAAGACTACTCTTCGTCTATATCTGCAGAAATACAATTGTCGAATCATCGCTCTAGGCAACGGGACAGGTTGTCACGAAACTGAAGTGCTTCTCGAGGCGATGAAGGAAGAATTCAATATGAATTTCACGTACTGCATCACAAGCGATCAAGGCGCTTTTGAATACTCTTGCAGCAACAGTGTAATTGACGAATTTTTTCCATGTATGGATGTTAATCTCATCGGTGCTATATTTATCGCTCGTAAGCATAAAAAGATTGATGAGGAATTTTCCATGCATTTCAAAAAGTTAATATTCGAGGGAGTTTATCATCACAATCCCAAGTATGAGATTTATTTGACTACACACGTGGCAGAATCCTTGGACGAAATCTTAGAAGAATGCAGGAGCTTCGTTGGAGTCGACATCAATACAACGGATGAGACTTGTTTGCGTTTCATGGCTGGAATTTCACCGGAAATCGCACACAAAATAATCCTTTATCGGCAGAAGCACGGCTCAATTGAGTCTCGAGAAAAACTGAGGAATCTGATTGACAAGAAGGCCTTTAGACAGTGCGCTGGATTCGTGACGATCGACGAGAAGACATCGGGAAAGAGAGCGAATCCGCTGGACAGAACTTGGATGCATCCGGAGAGTTATCACATCGCGAGGGGAATAATTAACTATCTGGGATTGCTGGAAAGGAACATCGGAGAGTATCACTTTATGGAGATGATAAAACGTGCTGCAGAACACCCTCAAACTGTTCAGCTCTTCGCTAAGTCTTTCTCTACTTCAGCAGAGAATGTGAGATCTATTTGCAAGATGCTTGCGAGGACACCATTGCAGGCTGTGCAAGAATATCGTGAGGATGTGTACAAACAGTTACAAACCAATTGCACATGGTGTAACCAAAACTTTTCGGGTTTAAATGGGATAAATAGACTGATTTGAATTTAATACTTGTAGGGATTGAAATCACTTCCGTGATATGTAATGAAATTTTCAGTTCTGAGTGTGGACGAAATTAACGGAGATTGCATTTTACAAATAGAGAATATTTTCTATAAATGAAATTCGTGTGGAATTTTGATATTGTTAAATTCTGATAAGAAATAAATTCGTTATACATATAAAGAGGTTCAAAGAAATTTCCCGTCGAGATTTTGTGGTTTTGGGACACAATGTGACATGTTCAGTCGGGACAACTCATCGATTTCCCATCGACAAGCATTCCAGTGACAGTGGCGGCCATGTTTGCAGTGTTCGTGTTTACAAAACTGTTTTCCTAAATAAAAACACCCCAATTAGTGGAAAATTAATCAGCAGATAGTGCTCAACAGTGACGATATTGTCATGGAAACCTGCTCATATGCGACGATGCCCTCAAATGCCCAACATTCCGATGCATTTCCACTGCCAGGTGAGCAAAAGAGCGCCCCATTTGTCACAGCGAGAAAATGTCGCTCTCAGATTACACTGAGACTCGCGGGCACTCCTTTCGCGTAAGTGGGACAAGAGCAGAGTACTGGAGAGCTGTTCAGCGTGCCTGGGCACTTCCCAGCACTGAAATTATTCAGTGTCTGGAAAGTAGGGTAAACGTGTGAAAAAGTGCCTTCATCATCATCAAAAGCCAAACCATTGTTGACAAAACCCAATTCTCACTGGCTCTCTTTTCTTTCACGGCCCGTGTAGACCTAACGCCGGAACAGCAGAAGCTGCTCATTGATCTGCGAAAGAGGAAACAGGAGCTGCTGCTGGAGATTCAGGTAATTATGTACTTCTGTTGGGTTTCTTTCCTTCGCGAGAGAAAGCCAGAAGCGAAGGACGCGCAATCGACGTTCAATGACTGTCTAGAATTACTGAAATAGAATTCTCGATACATTCGCATTGGAATTGATTTGGGCAAGCCAAAGAGAGCTATGCTGAAAGAAATCGACACTCCTCAGACGCTCAAGTGTTTGCTCAAAAGAGGGAAAAAGGAAAGCCAAAGGGGCGACAAAATGGTCTGTTTGCCATTGCGAGAAAACTGCTTTGAGAAGCAATGGAAATTAAATGGATCAGGTTTAGTTTATCTGTGAGGCTTTCAAGTGTTGGAAATTGAATAATTTTTGTCCATGAATCATCATCATTGAGTCAGTTTTGTTGCAATAACAATTATAGGAAAATCATTCAAATTGATGGAGAGTTCAACAAATCTTCTCATAGACAAATAATATTCTGTCCGCGGTTGAATTTCTCAGCGCAAATCTCTCCGCGATGGCTTGACAGTATAAATAGGCAAATATAGAGAGTGAATTTCGGTTTGAATACACAAAATTGCCGAGAGTGTGTTTAATTTACAAACAAAACACACGCGAAATCATCGAGAGACAACCGCGCACTTTTGGCATGAAGCCCCACCAGAGAAAATGCTCTTCTTAAGGCACTGCCTGCCCACTCTGTCTGTCGCAAGCGGGACAGAGAAGAGTTAAAGTGCTTGTGCTGCTGCCAAGAATCCCTCTATTTGCAGGACGGTGGGCACAGCAAATGAGATTTGACCCTCAGAGACACATCCTGTGAATTCATTCTCTTCTTGCACTCTGTGGCTGAGAAATACTCCGCGTGTGAGAGTGGAATTAATCCGATAAATTTCACTCGATGCGCCACACAAAGGCACTAAATTAAATCTCCCCTCGGGAATTTATTTATATATATAGATTTTGTGGAAGACTTATAAATTTTTTTTTCACGGTGGTATTTTACGAGGTGGTTTTCGTTTTTGAGCTTTATCACTTTCACGTAGTGAAAAATATATTGGGAAATTGACACGCGCGATTTTAATCTTCAAGGCAAAGAAGATTTCTTTTATAGCATCGCAAATGCTGCGGAGAAGCATATAAATTGATAAATCACACTCTTAAAAGTTTCCTCCTCAGACGACTGAAGCATGAGAGATAAGCGCGGGTGTGTAGTTTTGCTGAGAGGAAGTTTGCTGAAAAGCCCAGTTTTAAAGAGTGGAAAATTCATACATTTATCTTTTTTTTCATTTTCATTGTGTTGCTGACTGTTTTTTGTGTGTAGTTTTTCAGAGGAACACACAGGAACTTATTTGGGGCATTTTGCGAACTGCCACGACCTTCAGTGGTTGTTTTTCCAATCAATCTTTTGGTATAGTTCATTGGAATTGATCTGCCTTTAATATGAAATATCATTGTTGGATGCCATGGTCATCGTGACGCGGCGTTGACGTCAAAACAGGCCTGAGAATAATAACGAGAGATGTGACGAGTGTTATTTTTGCATATGGAGAATTCACCAAAATATTCGATAAAACTGGTTTCCTTGAATCAAGAATGTTTACAAGACTGTGAATATGTGCAAAATATGTGCTCTATTTTGGTCTTATATTTGCTAAATCCGTCCGGAGAAATGAACAATGGCTCAAAGATGTTCCTTGGTGATTTTCTCAAGTACCACAATTACTTGTGCTAATGCTAATGTCCTGGTCATTTGCCGATATAATTGGGGAGATATTTGCATTAATTGTTAGCAGGTAACTTTTCTTTCTTCTCCTCTTTCTCTCCCTCTCTCTCTGGCTCTGTCAAGAGCGCGTGAATTGAGTTTGCGAATTAGTTTCGCACTGAAGTGGCATCCAAAAGTGCCTCTCGAACGGCGCTTTTGGAGTTTCCTGACACTGGCTGACCACTCGTGTTGTGGGATTAATTGAATTGCCGAGGGAGTAAACACAGTGAGATGAATTCTCGACATTTTTTCACACACACACACACACACACACACACACACACACACACACACACACAAACATTGTATGGCGATCGGGCGCTAATTAAATGGAAGACATCTTCTGCAAATAAACACACAAATGGGCAGCTCAAACACTTCTTCTGCAGACTGTCGAGTGAAAATGAGAAGACGATTTATTCTGTGTAGTTGAAAAAGTTCCAGTTATTGTAAAGAACTAATTTAATTGCTTCAAAATCTCTGTGATGAGAAATTGAAGGGAAAATCGTGTGATACTTATTCGTTTCTATTGCTTTCATTGCGAGGATGATAGAATTCAGTTCATTTTATTTCACAATTCTGTACGGAATAAAATTCAAATTAACAATTAATTTGTTCATAAAATTATTTCACAGCATATTAAGTTTGTAGATCTGTTATGCCTTTTCTGAAAAGTACAGTCAAGTTCCTATGCAAGATTAGAAAACCATAGATCATCGCAATGTTAATTTGCTGCTGGGCATTGAATTGCTTTGGTCAGCACGGGAATCCTGCTGTCGCTGACTCTGCGCGGCCTTTTTCGCTGGCTCTGCGTTTGTGTGTGAACACCCGCCGACGTTACTGGTCACACAAACCTGAAGGCAATTCGCGGTGACTTCGTGGACGGGCTGGCAATTAGTCAAGAGCAGAGAGGCTCAGCGGTGAGTCTCGCAGAGCAAAGGCTGGGTTGAATTGCCAGATAATCGCGGCGGCGGCGGTGGAGTTTGGTCAGGAGGCGCGCGAGTGCGGAAAAGAGTGTCGAATCGCCTTTTTTTCCACTGTGTGACGACGCAGTGAATTCCCTGGTGCGGAAGTGATAGCGGCAGATGGTTGAGAGATTTGACATTGATTAATCAGCGAAGGATTATTCTCAGAAGTGTTTTGTGTGAGTGGGGCAAGAAAAAAAGGAGCAAGGTGGCGCATTTAGAGCGCAAAATTGTGCAATGCTTTAGAGGGAAGAGGGGAGATTAGTACAGATTGTGGTGTGCTAGAGTGGGCACAAAAATAGTCTATTCTCAGACCAAGTTGATGAGAGTTAATAGGAAAAGTGTGATTCATTTTCATGTCATTGTCGGCAGCGAGTAAATGACTATGAATTGCTAATTGATTTTCTCAGTCATCTCACATACACATACATTTCCACCATAGGCAAAAGCGCCGTGTATAAATTGCGAGGTGGTATCAATGAGTTGAGCCACAAATGGGTGGAATTAAGGCATGTTATCAGCTTAAATACCGAAAATACACACACGAGAACGCAATTATTGGCTGTGTGTGGTGAGGCGGAAATTTTCAAGAGTTTCCACCAGTGCGACAAAAGTGTATTAAAAAAAAAACCCGCTGCTTTATTATTTTTCTTTTTCGCAATGCGTTGAGCCGCGAGGAGAGACAGCGCACAAAAAAAGAAAGAAAGGAATTTATAACACGGTGTGGATCATTTATTTACTTCTTCAGTTCTTCTGTTGCGATTACCTCAAGAGCAAAGATGCAAAGGAGGAAAGGTAGAAATAATAATAAAAAAGCGAAGGGAGAGAAGAGTGGCGCGAAAGAGGCAATGTTGACGAGTGTCTATCAGAAGCAGACGAAGTCATACAAATTGAATTTAAATTTATTCAAAATACCATGGGTGGATGGAGGCAAAAAAGGAATTTAACGAGTCTCTCATATGATAACCAGATTCTGACGTAATTGAATAAACATGATATCATATTTTTATATATGAAGAACACATTGTAGAATGTGTATGAGAGCTTTTTTGCCTTCTTCTTCTTCACAATACAAATGTTCTTTGGCAAAATTCAGTGTTTTGTGTGTTGTATTTGTTCTCTGGGATTTCTCTTACGATTTTTTTTACACATGTCAGTGGAATTTTACGCCAGGGTGGGTGGAGAGAGAGAGAGAGAGTGGTGAAAAAATGTAAATTCTCAGTTGATTTCTGATCTCTCACTGCGTCTGTGAAGGTTTTCATTGCTGCGTCAGACTGGAATACGCGAGGAGTCATGCTTACATGATCTCTGGGAGGGAATTTTATGTCGTGGTCGCTAATAAAATTCAATCTGACGCCTTGAGAATTTACACAAATGCAGAAATAAGTCTGTACAGTCAAAGCTACTCTTCATCTCTGCCTTTACATACCATATTGTGTTGTATTCTTAGAGACAGAGGCAATCGAAGTGGACTTTTGCGTTGAATTGCTGGAAATTCCGATGAATTGTAACATATTAAAGTTACTATCTCTATCGATATTGGAAAAGTGTTGAAAACAGTACAGCAGCGATTATAAGAAATTATCTAGATGAAGTGATTTTCTTTCATATTTTCTCACTGTATTTTCTCATTGTTCCGGTGTTATTTGCAAAATGATTACAAAGCGAGAGGGAGAGAGAATACGTGCTGCAAATAGGAAAAATTGAAGGTGGAATTAAAATAGCTGATATGCGACTGGTGGCAATTATACAATGGCAAATATTTCATATACTGAATTGAGAACGGAAAAGTGAAGAGTGTGCATCAATAAAATATATATCAGTCAAGAGAGAAGGAAAAAATATCTTGAGATAAATACACAGATATATTATTAAATTGTGTTTAGAAAGGCCAAGCAAAGTGGCTGAAAAACCTCTATTGTAATACAATTGTCACATAAATTTGGTATTTATGTGTGGGGGGGGGGGGGAATTGAAGAGAGATACGCCTTAATACACTCTCCGCTATTGACACAGGAGGAGAAGAAGCAAATTGATGAATTGTAGAGGATGACATGGTGGAAAAGATCTCCAGCACTCGTTTTTTCCATGACCACCGGCAGGAAATCCACAAGAAACTCATTTTGCTGACTTCTCTCGCGGTGTTGTTGTTCTTCTTTTCGCTTTGCGCGAAGGAGAGAGAAACGAGTGGCGAGAAGGGGCGATAAAAGTTGAGAGAAAAAAAAATAACTTCATTTTATCTTTTGTGTGACTTCCTGTCTTTTTATTTATCACCCAAGTTTTATTTGTTGCAACAAAAAGCAATTTATTAAATAATAATTCAATTTATGACTGGCGAGAGCGAATTGATGAGTTGAAATTGACTGTATGTCTTTGGCCATCACGATGAGTGTTGGGCATGGATCTTGAGAAGAAGAGGTCAGAGATGAGAATAGGAAACAATTACAGTTGAGTGTCAAAATAATTGGCACAATATTGCTATCGAATTATGCCTTTTTCTCTCTTTCCTTTTGTGTCATTCTTTGGGTAATTCTTTGTGATGAACGTTGGGAAAATAATACAGATATAAATGTATTTGGGCAATTTGGTAGAATTAAGGCTTCTGCGAAAAATTTCACAAATGATACAGAGAGAATTCCCGGGAATGTGTGCCGAATAAAGTTGTGATGAATAATTTAAGTCAACACGTCTCAATTAATGACTAATGCTGTGCTGTCGAAAGACGATGCATTGAATGCGCGCGGTGGAAATTGAAACATTTTTTGAAAATTCCATTCAAGTACTGCCGAAAAATAGTAATTTCTCCTTCACGTTAGTTGAATCTCCAAAGATACTGATGCTGTTGCGATGGAGGAGAAATTGAGCGGGAGATGAAGTGAGAACGAGAAGAGCTGACATGAATTGAGGATGGGAATAATCAACAAGTTTCTTGGGAAAAAATATTTTACTCACGTTCTGAGACATTTTTGTCGCTATTAAATTCTTGCCAAGTGCGGCCAAGAGTGAGAAGAGAGGAAAAAGTTCAGAGAAAATTAAAATGACACCGAAGAGAGCGTGTTTTAGGGAAATTTTCATCTCATTGGCGGCGATAGGGCTTTTATTTTAGGTTGAGATTCACGCATGTTTGACGGTGGAAAAAATGTGTGTGTGAGAGAGACAGAGAGGGAAATAAAAGTGTGTAGGGAGTGATAAAGTCAATTTTAGAGAGTGTCAGTCTAAATTTGACCCAATTTCTCATCCAAAATATGACTTTCACAGCGCACAATTAAATTTTCGCTGTGTGAAAATTCTATTTTAGGCCTTAATTTGGGGGGATTTGAAAAATCCTACGCCTCTGACGAGGAAGTAAGGAGTGAACTGTTGACAGTGGAGCGACAGAAGTTCGCGCCTGAGTGTGTGCTGTGCAAGAGAGACTGAAGGAACGTTGTAGTATTTCACGCATGATGAGTGTTGAGTGACAATTATTATTGACGAGAATGTGGAATGATGTTCGCATATAGTGATAAGAAATCCTCGACGAACAACTGGTTCTCGTCACTGAGGCGCCAGCCGAAGAATAACAGCAATGCCAAGGACGCGAAGGATGCCAAGAAGATCCAGAAGAGCTGCATAGACCTCACGGCCCACCATAGGGGCGTGGAGCCGTCGGGCGTGCATCAGGTCACGCAGTGCGTGACGGAGAAGCGTGATGTGGTGGTGGATCGCCGGGCGAACGGGCGAGCCGAGCGGACGGAGGAACGGAAGGTGGTGAAAGTGACCACGAGGACTGTGATAAAGCAGCGGGTGGATTTCGATAATTGGAGCCGCGATAGGCGCGGATTGGTGTTCGATGACAACGGCAGAGTGCTGAATTTGGCCAGGCGCTTGATTGGCAATGAAGAGAATCTGCTGTATATCGATGATGCCGATGGCAAAGTGAAATATGACTCTAATCGCATCGCAGACCAAAAGGTAGATGAGGTCAGGAGAGTGCGTGTTTGGGGTGGTTTTCACGGACGAACATTGTTCTGACATCCTCATTTACCATCTCTCCATATTTGCATAATTATATTCTTTAATTGTCTTGAGAGCACTTTTTGCTTGTGTTTACAAAGCAATGAGGATTCAGACACGGAGTTGATAAAAGATAGTAATGATAGATAAATGATTTTATTTGCTGTGAATTCCATTGTAAATGACTCTGTTATAGCTAAAGGTTTCTTTAATTCGTGTATTTGAGGATTTAAGAATGCGAATCTTTAAGCAAAAATCTGTTTTAAACTGTAATTTTGTTGCCAGAGAGTGAAACTCTGCGACCGCAGGACGTGAGATCAATTGAATTTAATCTGCATAAATAGATTGAATGCAAAATTTATTCACTGGCTTTCTCATGCGGGGAAGAAGACAAGACGAGAGAGAGAACACAGACAGCGACATGAAAATTTATGATTTCCTTCAACAATTTTTCTTTCTCCTGATTTCTTTCCCGGACTCTCGACACGATGCTAATGCAGCAAATCAAGGATGAACTGTGCGAGGTGGTGTCGGAGATGGAGTCTCTCGACTCTCAGGAAGACTGCAAATATTCCAACAAGGACAAACAAATGTCAATTGGGCGCAAGAAATTCAACATGGATCCAAAGAAGGGAATTGAGTACCTGCGTGAGAATCACTTGATTCGCATGGATCCGCAAGATGTGGCGTATTTTCTCTACAAAGGGGAGGGACTGAATAAAACGGCAATTGGTAAATAAAAAAAAAAAAATCTCTGTGGTTCAATTCTCATGATAAATTTTCAATATTTGCAGGTGATTACTTGGGAGAGAAAAATGACTTCAATGAGCAAGTATTAAAGGCATTCGTTGAATTGCATGATTTCACCAATTTGATCCTGGTACAAGCTTTAAGGTGAGTTTTGTGGATGACTGAAAAATGGGTGGACTTTTCTCACTTATGTTTCCTTGCAGACAATTTCTCTGGTCCTTTCGGTTGCCCGGCGAGGCGCAGAAGATCGATAGGATGATGGAGTGCTTCGCTCAGCGCTACTGTCAGCTGAATCCGGACATTTTCACCAACACAGACACATGCTATGTCCTGAGCTTTGCCATCATCATGCTCAACACGTCACTGCACAATCCGTCGGTGAAAGACAAGCCGAGCATCGAGCAGTTCATCTCGATGAATCGCGGCATCAACAATGGCGGTGATTTGCCACGTGAGCTACTCGAGTCGCTGTATGAGAGCATCCGGACGGAGCCGTTTAAGATTCCGCAGGACGATGGGAATGATCTCATGCACACGTTCTTCAATCCCGACAAGGAGGGTTGGCTGTGGAAGCAGGGCGGACGCTACAAGTCATGGAAGCGACGATGGTTCATTCTCAATGACAACTGCCTGTACTACTTCGAGTACACCACCGACAAGGAGCCGCGCGGAATCATTCCGCTGGAGAACATCTCCGTCCGTGAGATCAGTGATCGCAACAAGCCGCACTGCTTCGAGTTGTACGCTTGCGGGGGCGCGGAGATAATCAAGGCGTGCAAGACGGACTCAGAGGGGAAGGTCTGTATCTCTCATCTCTTGGGGCACTCTTTGTTCTCGCCAGTGCAACTACTTGAGAAAGTTGTAATTGTGTGTCGCCTTTCATTGAGTGTCTGATTCACTGTGGTCGCACAAATTGATGCAAATCACCCAGACTTTGGGTGAAAATTGAAGGCTCCATTTGACATTCTCATGCTAATTTTGCGGTGCACCGACACAGTTCAAGGGGAATCTCAACTATAGCGTGCACGTTTTCTCTTGTGCAATTGTAATATACATATTGGGAGCTCTCTTCTGATATAATTCTCAACGGTCTATTGAGTTGAAGAAGGTGCAGAAATTGCGAAAATTCCTGTGCTGTAATATTCTAATGACTCACTTTTAAGCTTTTTAGTTTTTTCTAACACACCAAACAAAGGAGATTTTTATCGCACGCTTTGGCGCGCTTATCAAATGCAGCTTCTCTAGACCGGAAAATTTTCCTCGCACAACCAGATAATATTTACTCAATTTTTCCTTTCTCATGTTCATGTATTGTTTGTCTTTGGCATATTTAAAGATGTATATATAGCTTCTTATCTGATTTTGCTATTGCTTATTTTTCTTTGAAAAAAAAATTTTATGACTGGTAAAATTCCCGAAGCACAAGAGTGTTTAGAAAACAGTATCATTTGTAATTCTCTTGAGAGCTTCTTCTCTGAGGAAAATTCAGTGCAAAATTCAATCTGATGATATTATTAGAATCTGAGAAATTCACAATTTAACGATTGTTTATGATTGCATATTCAAAGATTTATGTACACTTCACGCACAGACATTTGGGAGAATTGACGTGACGTTGCATTTTGGCTTTGATGGGCAAAATCAATTGGAATAGTGCGTGTGACTTTAATTTACAGAGAGAAATTCAAGGGTGGGGGGAAATTTCTGGCCTCGAGATGTGAAGACCTTTCGCTGCTTTTGCTTGATTTCACGAGATATTTGAGAAGTTCTGGGAATTTGGCAAACAATAGCAAAACTCAGTCAAATTGGTGACCTCCTAAGCTTTCACTAGGGAAGCCCCAACATTGAATATTTATTGCGGCTGAGTGGCCTGAAAGTGATGGTTGAATTGATTTTGAAACAATTCACATTAATATTAATTGGAAATTGATACATATATTCTGGGAGAGGAGAAGGAGGAGGAGGAGGAGGAGGCGTCTTGTGTGGTCGTTTCTCACCTTGTTTGTCTTTCTCTCTTGTCTGCAGGTTGTCGAGGGAAAGCACACGGTGTATCGCATGTCGGCGGCCACGGAGGAGGACAAGCAAGAGTGGATCAAGTGTCTCACGCAGTCTATCAGCCACAGTCCCTTCTATGACATCCTTGTGCAGCGCAAGAAGAAGGCACTGTCCAAGAGCTAATGCGAGGACATCCTCCGCAATGGCAAGCGAAGAAGGAACATTCAGTGAAATGCGCGCAAGACGTTATTTATAAATTCTCACTTTCTCAACTGTGAGTCACACACATTTTATAAAGTGTGTGTCTCTAAGGCTTCCATCCTTTGATAACTCACTTTTTTTTTGCGTCGTAACTTCTTTTACTTTCTATATGTGAAAGAGAAAAACTGAAGGAGAGAGTGAAAATTGAGAAGCACAAGTGAGAAAAAAATATTCCTTAAGCAATTTTCGTGGAACAACTTTTGAGATATCAATAAGAATTAAACGTGACATTTAGACCATCTTTACAAAAAAAAATGGGTGACAAGTGAAGCGGAGGTGAAAATAGTTTAATTTATGTTTATATTACTAAAGTAAACAATTTAGTTGTGACTAAAAAGAACGCTATCTCATTTGTAAGAGTTTATTTATGAAAGGAGAGAAAATCAAATTTGCAAAATAAAGAAGAAAAACAGAATCTTAAGAGACAGTGATGTGGAACAAATTTGTATAATTTTTGTAGATAGGATGATGAGAAATTATATTATGATTAAATTAATAAATTAGTAATAAAAGTAACAAATAAAAATGCCATTTTGAAGCTATATTTACTTTTATTTTATATCCGTGTTGTACAATTCAACGCTAACAGTGTGAGAATTTTCCATTTTTCCATCATTTTTTTACTTCACTTCATTTAGTATATTCGTCTATTATTTTTTTCTTTTACCCATTTTCTTGTGTGGTTTCTCTATAAGTTTTCATCTCAAATTAATTTTTTTTTCTTCTTCATCTCTTTATTCGTCTCTTGGTCCATAATCAGCATGTAGAACAAACCATATTTATTTTTCCACCATTTTCTCCATGATTTCTCTATTTACGTTAATCCTTAGGGCTCTACAGTATAGTATTCAAATATCATTGATTATTTACATTTAAATTCTTTATTTCTTCCTTCTTAATTGGGTTGTCATGGTGTGTGATTTTTTATCTTATCATTCTTCTCTTCGCATCTAATTTCTCTTCATCATTTTAACGTAAATCCAGAGTTTGTGTGTGTATGATTTTCCGGGGGGATGTGGGAGGATAAAAGGAGGAATATATTGTATGAAAAATTATTAAAATTTAAATATACAAATATCTTTTTTACTCATCTTCAGTCGATAAATTATTAAATCTAGATAATATTCCATCCAAATTTCTCTACATCTTCCAATGTTATTCCTTGCCCTTGGTTCACCATCTCTCTTTTCCTCCAGACAATATATTGTATAATTCAATTAAAAATCTTTAAATTTCTCTTTTTTAATCATTATACCAATAATTATGCTTTTTTTTTTAAATATCTTACTATACGTTGACGGTATTCACTGATTCACTTATTTTTCACTTTACATAATGCTTACTAATGAAATTCCATCCTAAATTAATTCCTCTTGTTGCGGACTCTATAAAGAAAGTGGGGACTTAAGGAACTGAGAAGACACAATGTTGAAGTTTCGCGTGAGGGTGAATTTTTTTTCCCCACTGAACAGAAGTGTTTACTTGGGTGTTGGGGGGGAGTGAAAGTGGGTGGGAAATTAACCCTTCTGACGGAATAAAAATGAAATTTTGTCACACCTCCACAATGGGTTGAGCGCTGAATGAATTAGGCTCATTAATCATCGTGCTTTTCAATTAAAGTCTAATGAAGCAATCCTCAAATTTATGAATCACACTCTCGCTCTGATGATTTATTGAATTTAGGCTCTGTTAATTGCACTCGATCTTCAAGGACTTTGTGCGCTCTCTTTTCTGCCAATTATAAATCGCGCGCATTTCCCATTTTTCCATCATCCATCCATAGCACGGTGGAAAGTTTTAAATTGAAGAAAACGTGGACAATAATGAGCTAAACAGAGAGTTTACTATATAAGCTCTCCTCTTCATCAATGTCCTCTAAATGTAAATTAAAGCCGAAAGCGGTGCAAACTTTGCTACTAATTTGCTGCAACTAGTTTAAAAGTAGATTATGACAAATTATATCAGCAAAAGCAGATGTTATGGCATTTGTAAATTTTGTATTAGGTGAAAATTGTGGGATTTTACCCGCTAAAATGCTCATTTTCACAATTTGAAAAGCTTATTTTCAGCTCTCCACTTGAATTTAATTACACAAGCCAAAATTCGCGACTAAATGTGTGAAAAGATTGCACGATGATTTGTGTCCGGCATTTAATTCATGGAAGAAGGGTTAATTTTGGGTAGCAATTCTTCATATTTTTTCTCATCGTGTAACATTGCTGATTTCTACAATTATATTATCCTTACGTTTTCTTTAAGGTATATTACAATAAGGTAATAATATGGGTTCTTCCATCTCCTTGTCTTATATGAATATCTCACTTTTTTTTTGTCCTTTAAAATGTAATTTATCGTTGCAATAGACGTTATGATATGATCAATTTTTTTTTAATCTTCCGTTTCATCATTTTTTTTCTTTCTTTCAATATTTAATATCTCAATGAATATTCCATATAATTCCAGGTAGAAACACTAAAATAAAGATTCTCCTAGTCTCGTGTGTTGTCATTTTATGAAAATTATACACTTTTACTTTTAATTCACTTATCAAGTCTTTCAATATATGAATATTTCTCACTTAATTTTTATTACTTTTTCCTATATAATGATTTCCTTCTTTTTTCTCTCTCTCTCTCATTTCTTTGCAAAGAATGTTTGTGGTATAGAAAAGATGTCTCAGGTTCTCTCTTTGTGGAGGAATGAAAAAGGAAAATTCTTTGAGACCTGAGAGTGCAATATTAGTTGACTTTTTTTCTCTCTCTTGAGAATTATAGAAAAGCCATAAAGAAAGGAGATTCTTGTCATATAGTTTTACAGGTAAAAAACACAGATAAAAGAAAGGTCACAGAGTGAAAAAATGTACTCAACTTTTCTCTTTTTTTTCTTTGAGTTCTTAAGTGAGTTTTCGGTGTGTGTGTGTTGTGATAAGAAGCAAAAATCACGTTTATACAATAGCTACAAGTTGTTTTGAAAAAGGCACAAGGGGAAAATTGGGAAAATTTAGAATTATTTTATCCACTTTCTTTCTCTCTATTCTATAAGAGTATCTTCAATGTCTCTAGTCATCCTATTCTTTTTCAGTATGTCTCTTCTTTGTCTCCTTGTTATCTCAATTCTCACTGTATTTAGCGGCTCCTCTAAGAGTGGCAAATTAGAGATTTAAATGCTTCATCTGGGACTCTTCATCTTCTTCATCATTTCCCGTGAAGCCAAAAGGGAGAATTGATTAAGAAATCAATCGCGCGAGGAATGGAGGGTGAAGTGAAATTAAAAATTAGTTAATTAAATGACAAATTAATTAGCACCGTATTAAGTCCGTAGAAAATGCTCTGGTAGTTATTCAAGAGTAGATCGACTTAGCGAATGAAGAGAGTATGAGATTCCCGAGGGGTGAATGTCTCTGCAAGAAGTATTTTCACCATAGTGTTGTACAAAATGCATTCGCAATTTCCTATAATGTATCAATATTTAAATGCCTCTTCCGGTGGATATTATTTTTGGATTACAAAAAATTCCCACCACCCACGCTCAATGTGTGGCGGGAGTAGAAAACTTCCTGATGTTGTGCAACATTTTCATGGCAGTGTTCAGAGGACACATACAAACACACGGTTTTTGGAAATATATCAATAATGTATCACGTTTTTCCCTCGGGAGTCCCCCACGTATTGATATTTTCCCAGCGATGCAGCAGAAAAACACGATGATGAATTATTCAAATGAGGATAAAGAGTGATGCATTCAATACGGAATGCCCGCGAGACGTTCGCCCCTCGGCTCTCCTCCCGCGCGCGCACACAGCAGAGGCCAGTGAGTGTCCCTGCGGAGAAAGGGGATGATGCGGTGGCTTCTTGCAGCTCTAACATCATTTATATCATTATTAGTGACAGAGTTGTGCCATGGAATCCGTGGCCAGAAAAAAGGGGGCGGAGAGAGTGGGTGGTCTTGTTGGTGGTGTGGTAAAATTGTGAAAAGAGAGTGACTCGTGGTGGACACATAATCAATTATTCAGCTTCATTTAGTCATTTTACATAATTATTATGAATTAATTAATATGTGCTTCCGAGTGTGTTTACTATGAAAACGTCATACTGCATGTGTTTTTTTCTGTGTGTGTTAATGTCAAAAATGCATTTTTATCTATCACAATTAGTAATTGATTGATTTTATGGCAACAATTATTCTTCGATGTCTATTTTACATCCTCTCTCGCTCTCACTCTTTGTGTGTTTTCTCATACTTCAATAATATTATTTTCTTTTTGCTCTTTCGCATATGGATTCCTATAAAGTACGGGGAAGAGAGGTTGTTTCTCTTGAGCAAAAAACGCACTCCTTTATTCTCACTATTTTAGACAGAAACTTCATCCTAAGAAACTCCTACAGAAACTTTACTTTTTACACAGTCATTTCTTCACGGGGGGACAAAAAGAAAAAAAAACTCATGACTCTTCAATCAAGCATGCAAACATTTACATCAATGCACATTTCGCCACAGATTTGTCCTTGTTCTGGAGGGAAAAAGCTTCCGAGACACACATAGTGATCGACAGAGTGTGAAAAAGCGTGGGAAATTCCTGAGGTTTATAGTGAGTCTCTTCTCTTTTTTTTCTTAGTTTTTCAATTACACAGATTACAAAAATAAAACAATGCTTGGATTTATTTTACATCGTAGAGAAAATGGAAGATTCGAAAAAGTTCTTAAAGAGCCCAAGAAAAGGTAACTTTCAGTGGCGAAAAGTGTAAGTGAAGAAAGGAGAAATTATTTGAAATTGTATATACAGAAATTTATATTATATGTGTGTTTTGACATCAGAATGGAATTTTGAAATTTATACATCTTTATCAATTTTTACCCTTTTTCCTCGCTCTTGACACTTTAATCTCCATTTAACTACACGCATTTGCGCTATTTTCCGTCACATTCTTACTTAGGTTTACACAGAAAAATAAACTGAAATTTCTAGTATTTTCTTTTCCTTACATAAGTTCGCAATTTTTTTCAATTCTCATCTCACTTATACTTGTCATTAGAGTAGATACCATCGTAGTTATTGTCAAAAATCATTCGTACAGTTCTCAAAGGTGAGTACAATGTATTTTTTTTTCTTCATCTTTATATATAATATATAGATAATTTAAGTATTTTCCATCCTCTCTCTATAAAGGTTAAAGATTTACAAACGCGCGTCTTTTAGTGTGTTTCATCATCCTGTGTGGAAAAGATTTCCAGAAGAGAGAACAATTGCATGACTTATTTTCCATGCCGAAGAAAAATATGTCATTTTTTTCACTCAATTTTCAAATACACTGAACTCTGTGTGCAATCAATTGTCCCGCATAAAGCGATAAAGAGTTATTCTTTTTACACTACTCGAGAAAGTTGTTTTTTTCACATTCATGTTAGTTTTTATGTTCTGAAATGTCTGTCAATGTTTTAATTGGCAAATTATTTTGAGGTCACATTATAGAAAAAAGCACAGAAACGTCATGAAAAGTTAAATTCCGGCAAAAATACACAGTTTTTTCCTGTGGTTAACAATATTTTTGCGGGCATTGTGAAAAAAAAGAAAAATAAAATAAATACGTAGCTGAGGAGAAAGGAAAGAGGCGCGGATTTTAAATGCAATATGAAAAATCGAGTCAGAAAACGAGATTAAAATATGTTGCATAATTAATATGGAGCGGAATAATTCAATTTCATACTCATTTATGATTCCTTTTTTTTCTCCCCTCCCAACCAATCTCTCATGCTGCATATTTTTGTGTGTTATTTCAAAAATTTACTGTTCATTGAGTGATTATGAATTAATTACCATAAAAAGTTTTTTTTTACTAATTAATACCATTTTATACCCACAATAATAATAATTCAAATATGCTATCAATGTATTACGCTACTTGACATGATTTTTTTGGGATGTTATCTGATTAATTTTAATTTTATTCATGGTTTTGCTAATTCAGTTTACTTGCACTTGTTCGCGAAATGGATGTTTGAGTGTGGATTTGTGGTAAAAAAGGGAGGTTTTTCATTCATCAATCTCTATAATATTATTTGATAGTAATTTCATTAACTCTACTTCTTCCTTGCTCACTGGATTCCTTTATGCAATTCTCTTTTACATGCACACACACACGATAAAAAAGGGTTTATCTTTTCACAGAAGAGCGTCATTGATTGATTATATTGATCACAAAACCCACAGATTTATCCATAATGTATGTTTCTACCTTAATACAGGGAGGATTTTGGGGGTGGTGTTTATAAATATTGTATCAGCAATTATAATAATTAATTTCATGAATATTAAATTACATCACTAAGAGACTCCATATGTACACAATTGATGCCTTTCCACCACTCTAAACGTCCTATATATAACTTCTGATGGAGGAGGAAATTTTCAATGGCATATTTTGTCATCTTCACATTAATTTCCTTCGAGAAATAATTTTACAAAACAACTCAATCGACAACACAAATATTCACATATCCGCCTGAATTCTTCATATATATATGCCTTCACATTGCCGGAAAAATAGTTTGTGGGTGTGTGTGTGTGTGTTTGTGGGGGAAATCAATCATGAAAATCGTGTCCCTTTCCACCCTCTTTCACTCCCTCGACGAAAGGCTCTCCTCGAAGTCCTCGTCGAGCAGTCAAAATTTCTCCTCCTGTCAATATGCGGCCGGCTTGTATCCCAAATTCTTTCGTTGTAGAAACAGATGAATTTCACGGAAATTCGGCCGGTTCTGCTCATTTCGCTGCCAACATTCGCACATGAGATCATAAATCTCTCTTGGACAGTTCATCGGAATGGGTGGCAGGGCCTGCAACGTGGCAAAGAACGGCCAAAGAGAGGAGAATTTAGTGAAAAACAGTCACATACCGCACTTTTTTATAGCCTCCACTCGTGGGGACTTCAATATTGGCAGTAATTGATATTTATTTTATCGATTAAAGAGCCATTTACCGACCATCTCTCTCCCGCGCAATTAAATACAACTCACAGCGAGAGAGAGAGACTTTAATGCCACATCATAGGGAAAAAAAGCAGCGCGCCGAAGAATAACCCTTTTAGCTAAATTCAACACAATTGCTTAGGAGGAAGTGCGATGGGCGAAAAAAAGAGAGAGAGAAGAGTTACTCGATGCATTTGGGTTGATGGAATTGAGATGAGATGGAGATAAAGTGATTTTAAATGGATGGGATCCATAGTTGAAATTGTATGATTTTATTAGCGAAACTTTCACACTTTAAGTGGCTGTCACAGTCAGGAAATATTCCATCAATAAACAACTTCACGACAGATATGAAGAAAAGCGCTCTGGAAATCCTCTATTGACTGTGGCAAAATTGTGTTGACTTGAAATGATTCTTCACGATTTCTTTCACCATTTGCGGAATAGACCTTATATTCTGGGCTGCGATGCTCAGTATAATAACTCCACTCAAACAATGCTTGATATTCTCTCTCTGCAATTTCTATTGAGATATCAGCATCGCGAGAGAGAAGAGAATAGAAAAATAAACTATCTTTTAATTGTCATCTCTTGTCGTCCGCCAACCTCCAGCTCAGCAATAGAGCAAATGAAAGCCCCAGACAAGAAGGTCTGATATGAAAAGTACACGCAAGAGAGCATCTTTTATGTTTCGCTAACAAAAGGGAATCATGCAGAAAAACAGTCCTTCATCCTCTTCAACGACGAATACACATTGAATTGAAGAGAGAAGAACAAGAAAAGGAAGTGGAGGAAAAAAAAATTTTTACAGCCAGGATAAAATTTTTGGGTTTCGTCTCATATTTCACATGGCGGCACACGTAAATAATTAGTAAATCATTAATGTTGAAGAAGGAATCATCCACAAAACCATATTGACATTTATTTTTATGGTTTTCCCTTGTATACACGAACTTTTATATGGCACATTCTTTCTCCCTCTCTCGCGCGAACACGCAAATTAATGGGAAAAAAAGAGAGTCGCGCATAAAAAAGAGCAACAACAACTAAAAATATATACTGAAAAAAGCATAACAAAAATCCCACTAAAATGTCTTTTATGCTTGTTCTCCTTTTTCTCCTGCCCTCCACTTTGCAATTAACTTGGGAAAAAATTGGGAGGAAGAACTCGAACACAGTTGAAGAGGGTCTCATCGCGCGTACTTCTTTCTCAATGGCGTTGGCAATAGAGAGATGAAAAAAAGAAAAATGTACAAACGGAGAAAAACCGCAGACAAAACAGCGACAAGAGTCACTAAAAATTAAAAACAGACGTGCAAATAGTTTCCCGAGTGCGACAGAGTGACATCCTCAAGGGAGATGTTCACCATGACATTCGTTTTCTCTGTACCTTCCCTCGTGTGCAGACAAAGGAGAGAGATAAGTCGGAATGTGGCTTAAAGTTTCCCGACTGTCCGGCAATTTTATATATATATATATATATAAAAATGATAAATAATAAATAGACGGTGACTTACATGTTTCTTATCATCCTGATAGATGTGACCAATATTCTCAATTACTTTCTCATCGCTCATATTCTCAAAGGGCTGCTCTCGGGCGAACGTCAGGATCTCCCACAGCGTTATTGCAAATGACCAAACATCAGACTTTGATGTGAATTTTCCCTGTGGATGGAAAATTGCACAATACACATGAGGATGGATGCCATACAAAATACATATAATGCATGAATGAGTTGGCTTTTCATCCCCAACCTGTTTTTCAGCAAATGCTTTTCCACCATAGAAGCTAATTAAAACTTTTTTTTCCACACTCAATTCCACAGCAAGATTTTGCACCCCGGAAAACATATTCAGTTGCACTCTATTTTTTAAGATTAACTGAATAGATAGCTTTTACAACTCATCTGTTATGGGGGGACAAAAGCTTGTAGCAGCAAAAAACATATCCAAAATTTCACTGCATTGAATATGAGATGAATGAAAAATTAGGGATTAAAAAGAAGTTTTGTAATACTTTAGTGTGTCATAAAGTGGAAATATGTTGCTTCTGATAAGAAGATAAATAAATAAAATATAATTTTACACATTGCAAAATAATGGAAAAATATTTTCTTCACACTCCACTTTCATTAGCCAAAGGCTTTTTTCCACTCATTATTAAGTGATTTAGAAAAAGCATAAATCAAGTAAAGTATGACAAATGCTATTCACTCTCAGGTGAACCTGAACAGCCTCTCTTTTTCTCTCTCTCTCTTTCTTTCTGTGTATGTGTGAAAATCATAGACACAAAGCTGCGAGGAAGATAAATTCTGGGAATTTTCCGAGCCTTGCTGTTCATATTTTTCAATTAAAGTGTCACGGTATTTTCCACTCGTGCGGGCATGAAGAGGAGAGAGAAAAAAAGGGGAGCCGCAACTAATGCTTCAATTTACCAGTAAAACACTCTCCCACGACATCCAGCGAATTGGCATTGGTTGAGATTGTCGACCAGCGGCACCCTCCAAATGGCAGTAATCTCCTGGATACTGGAGACGATTTATCACCGCACCCACAGTGCAGATTTTCACTTCCAGATGTGGCCCAATAATGCAGCTCCTTTCGTTGTTCAACGCACGTTTCGACGGCACCGGGAAAAGAGAGTGTTGGAAAACATTACAGCAAAATTACATTTATTGCGCGACACTCCGTTTGTCCCCCGACCAAATTCGTCTCACTCATTTGTGGGCCCTCGATCGGGTGGTCGATTTTGAATAAAAATATTTTTATTATTTATTATTATTGCTCAAGTGGATTTAAATGGCATTAGGGTTGTGGTTTGTTATGTGTGTGTGCACCCTCGCAAATGGCAACATTGTACGTGTGCTCCTGCATGGATCTTCCCGATTAAAGGACGCTGCAGCCTTCGCCTCTCTTGGGAGGGATTTTCCACAAAACAGGGATCGATGCAACCGCATTTGCACATGCAGCACCCTCACTCACTCCCTCTCTCTCTCTCTCTCTCTGTCTCATCAGATTCTCGGCGGTGTGGAAAAACATCCTCCTGAATGAGTGATTCTTCCCCACCCCCTCAGGATTTCAAAGTTAATCGCGATTCCTAGACAAAAAGAATGCATGTGACTCTTGCAGACAGACCAGAAACTGTTGGGAAAACCTCTTCAAAAGAGTCTGTCGCTCGCAGTAATTCTCATATCTTTGATCAACGCGAAAGTACAATATCGCCCATGAACCGTCCAAATTCAGATACAATGCCGCAGTCATTAAACTTTTAATTACGCACATTGATTCATCGTTCCAGGAAATCTTCGAAACTCCGCCATGAATATTCATGATTATTCAAAACAATTTGCAGACAATCTCTCGCTGCCATCCCAAAAATTGACGACGCGCAATACATGACTTTTAAATCACACAGAAATCTTAGCCCCATCTTCAAGACAAACATTCCGCCTAAATTGACGATATTATAATCAATTGAATTATCCCTCAACCTCTCTTGCATTAAGGCTAATCTTTATTGATGCCCCAAAATGAATCGAACTATGTTTTTAATTAGTGTCACTCATTTGTGATTAAAATGCGCATGATGCTTGTTTGGCTAAACTTTTGAATTTGAATTAAATTTTCTCATCTAATTGGATGAAAATGAAATTGTTCGACTGCATATTTCACCTGTTGCCGCTCCAAAGCAATAAAATGCCAGATGAAAAGTTTTGATTAAACCATATTGTGTTTTATTGACATATTTTGCTTATTAGAATATGAAATATTCATGCGCCCTTCTGCATATCATTGCCTATATTACACCAGCCAGAGTTATTTCAATCAAAATGATTTAGTCATTCTACGAATATTCTATAAATCGGAGAGCCGCAAACTTTCCAGCTATTTCTTATGAAAATTCACTCGGGTTCAATCATTCACATAATAAATTTCATCATATGGAAATCTCCTTGAATTTATATTCTCCCAATCATTTGATGTGATTATGACGAAGTGATGTCTTGAATCAATATTCAAATCTCATAAATTTAGTCTGTCGAAACGGAAAAACTTGCCATTTCCCATTAACTTTACGATTGCCACCAATTAACCGAAATTGCGATAAGCAATTTTCATAAAAATTTATGACCAGCAAACTCTGTATATATGAAGAAACTCTTCTCACGGACTTTAACATTGAATATTCAGTCTGATCAAACAGATTAATCGACAAATGAACACGACAAATAAGACCCTAAACATCCGTAAATCACCCAATTTTTAATTAAGTTGACTATTCAATTGCGAACAGGATCAATGAATTTGTACATTTCGTCTGTCACTGTGTCGAATGCTGCTCTTTGTGCACTTTTCACATGAAAAACAGAGATGCTGCAACTGTGGATTTCACAGTGAAGCCACCGAAACGATACATTGGAACCTCACCCGAGCAAATCCCTCCTGATTTCCCTGGGCTTTGGGCCACTTTGGCATTTTGAGGGGTGTGGGCTGCTGGGAAAGAATAAAATTAGGGTGCACGTGTCTAAGTATTATCCGAGAACGGTCCAGAAGTGACTGCTCTGGGTTATTTTCCCAACCCTCCACCGACACTTGGTCGATCAAAGTGATTCCGGAAGAGAATCAAGTGAGATATAGCGTCAGAAATGGTATTAGCATATCAATCATTTTACCATTTTCTTGCACGTCTCCTGGCTCATCCTTCTTCGCCGTAATTTCTCACATCTAACCCTACCTCCCTCTTTGCCTGGCGTCTCGCATGCGGGAAGACTGGGTGAGATTCTTTAATCTCAAATAGGATTAAAGCTCACTGAGAATATACACACAGAGCTTCACAAATCCCCCATATTTCCCCCATCGCAGGATGTGATTCTTAGCAATTCGCAGCTTTTGCGGTTATGTTGATGTGCTAAAGCCATCCAGAGACAGGATCATTTCATGGGGGAGGCGGAAAACTCCCTTTGTTTTCTATACAATTTAATTCTTTCGCAGAAAGTATTTAACTATACTTTTCATCTAGCGAACTTTATTGGATAACCAAAGAATCTCAACTATCACAGACTTTCACGGCTTATCGTGTCCTTTTTCAACTGCGTCTCACACACAAACACACACACACACGTTCTAACGCCCCATGAATGCCGGCGAGCAAAACGAATCGGATATGTACAAATGAAAAATGAAATGTGTATTATTGCAGAAGTGAACGGAAAACATATCATCAATAGTGGGTGAAGCAGGGCAATGAGGGGAGAAGTTCTCTCCTGAACAGGAGAGAGAGGGTGGAAATGGTAAATGGCGTGCCCCGGAGTTGAATTCAATAAAATCTACACAAAACCAACGCGCGCCCGTTGTTTCTCCGACATGGTGACAAAGTGCATTGGTGTAAAATTAATATTTTTTTTCTACAATATTTAACAATCACACCCACGTGACCCTCGTGCCGATTTTGTTGTTGTGTTGAATCAACGTCCCCCACCCTCTCAACGGGGGTGGTCCAGGTCCGTGTGGCAATGCAGGAAAATATAGGGAATAATTATACTGTGTGACGCGCCATTCGCCGCGGCGCACGCACAGAATGCAATATTGCTGTCGCCGCGACTTTTTATTTGTCGCACACAATTGCATTGGAGCGGCACGCGGAACTTTCGTTCACGTCTGGGTGTAATAATAAAAATAATTACAAATTGAATTAAATATTCATAAGTTTAATTTAAAATCAACAGGAAGGGACAGCTGCTGGCCCCTTTCAACCTCTCACATACTGATGACATTCACCCTCGTGCACCCTCGCGCAGAGTTGGCCACTTTTGGGATGATAGATGAGAGATTGTATCTCGCTGCCATTATATTAATGAAGCAATTAAAAAGGAATGAGAAATTGCCGAATGGGAATTTTCCATTGTTGTTTCTTGAAAGGTCTAACGAGTTGTGAGCATCAAATAGCAAAAAAAAAAACAAGGTACATGATGAATGAAGTAATGTAGGATATAACTTTGCAATTTCATTAATAGATTTGAGCTTCTATGTCAGCTCACTATTTTCTTCTATTTTCTTCTATTTTCAGACAATCTTGCTACGTTTATCAAATTCATTCAAGGTGAGAATTGATAAATAAATAACAAAACAATCAAATTGTCATAGGAAAATCCTGTGAATTGTTCGCATTCTTGTACGTTTTCAGTCTCTCAGCTAATTTCCATCCAACTCTGCGCTCTCTTAGCAGCTCGCTTATCTTCCCAGAGCCTCAAGTGAGGAGGGAAATGGTTTTCAGAACCGGAGGGCTTTAAAAATACATACTAGGGAAAAAAAATTAGCGACACAGCGCGAGGAAATAAATTCATTTTGAGTACCATGTCACGCTCACTTTTACACTTTCTCCTTCAATCTCTCTCTCTCTCTCTCTTCCTCCCGAAGTGCTGCCCCTTCAGCGCCCCACGGCCTCGCCGGCGCCCCGGAAATGAGGAAACAGAGTGTGCAGGCAGGGAATTACTTAGACTTTTCCTCCTCATATTCCCCACAACCATAAACATTTTTCCCTCCACATAATGTCAACGCACGATTGTCTCATGGTCCGCAGAAATGCTCTTCGCCCACGTGTGGGCGGAGGAGGAGCACAAGAGGTAGAAGAAAAAAAATGGCACAGAGAGAAAATGTAGATTAATATTGAGTTGACCTGAATTGCTAGTGTACGGAGTGGTGCGGTGTTAAGAGGGGGTGGCGGTCGGGGGGTGGTGTAGGACGGACAGAGTGAAGAGCAAAGACTAACCTCGTTGCTAGATCCTTGTGTACAAAGTTCATTTGCTCCAGATACTTCATGCCCGAGGCAATTTGTGTGGCAATGTAGATCAAACAGCCGTAACTGCAAAAGACCAAATAATGTGGAGTTAGATAAACTTGGCACACAGCTATCATTTTTGCCCATCGCATCCCTGCTCTGGGGGGTTGGGAGAGGGTTTTTACCTGTGCGGGGGGAAAAGATTCATCACTCACCTGAGCGAATTATTTTGTACCCCAACGGCAGTTGTCTCCGCAACATGCTCTTGGAGAAATTGATTTAAATCCCCTGTACAATTGCTATAGTCTAGTACAACACAGACGGGCTCATCTCGTAGACATGCCCCTAGTAATTTGGCCACATTTGGATCACTCAGGCGTCCCAGGTGTCTGGCTTTTGCTCGAAAGTCCCTCTTCACATTTTCAGGTGCACTCGAGCGAAGGGTTGCGACACCAACCAGACTAGAACTGCAACGGTAATTACAGGATTATTCTTCATAATTGTCCACTATGCCTTATTATGCTGGCCAAGATGGCTCAAATAGGGGTGAAAAACACAGAGACTCTGCCAGCCATTTCCTTCAGCCTCACTCATTTTCTTACGCAAATGAACGTTTTTTTTCTGAACTATTTTTTTTTACCAACCGTTCTGCCAAGCTGAATAATTTGAATGTGACTGTGCAAATAGAGTCCATCATTTTAATTTTCATCTTTTCACTGGAATTGCACTGGTAAAATTTGCACAAAATGTTTCAACTTGGAAAAATTTTATGCTTTTCCGATAAAATACTTAGATAACTAAAAAGTTTTCTAAACTCCTCGAATTACAGCTCAACTTCATATTCATACTTTCCCAATCTTGTGCACATAATCCGCCGTACAGCTTCTAATAAAGTTACTCAATCTTGCACCGCGCGTCTTACATCAACAATTATTATGAGTTCACTATGCGCTCCACTGCGAACGGGAGAGGAAAAGATCAAAGTATGAATGGATGCTCTTCACAAAGTTATCTCAAATATTATCCACTCATTTTCCTCATAAGAAATTCAACACAGTGCATTTTTGAATTTCCAGAGAGGGAAATTCAAACTCACTGAGACACTTTTCTTGCAGCTGCTGACAAGCGAAAACTTTCTACACAGTGTATTTTTTTTCTTAAAGATTGCCATTCTTTCATTTCAGAATTTATTGTTTCCTTTAGACCATTCGCCTTCACGTTGATATACTTCCACTTTCTTTTCTGTATGAAAAGGGGATTTAAAATATAGAATTTCAGGGATTAAATGTGTAAAATGACTGCCTTCACCCTTTTAATATTTTCAATTATTTCCATGACTTTATTCGCATCATGCGAATGCCGCCTTTCTTCTTTAATCCCTTCTAAGTAATTGTACACATTTTCCCATTCTTTTTCACCTAATCCTATGTTTAATGAACGAAGGATTTTCTGTGCTTTTTTATTCTCTGCTTCAACATCGCACGCTGAAAATATGTAATTAAGAGAAAATAATAGTTAAAGCGCAAAATCCCATTTTATTTTAAACTTGTATTGTAACGAGTTAAAACTTTGCCATTCAATCGCTTTTTTTCACTCTCTCTCTAAACTCTCTCGTTTGCAAACTCTATCAATTGATTTCAAATTAAATCCTTTTGGAATCTTCTACTTGAAATCAATTGCTGGCAAATGGGTGATAATTTTTATTTTACATCCACTGAAAAAGTATCTCATAAATTATCACAGACCTCACAATATTTATCACAAGTAAATTACGAATGAAAGCGCAAATGCGCAATATCGATGGCAAAACTTGTTCTCTCGCACTCAGCCTTAATTCAATTTAGCGTATTAATTATGTGAAAACAAATTCCGACCGTAATGTGGAATGTCTTGTTTGAATTCTCACGCAATATTCTTTTCACAGATACTTTATTGAGCCATTAAGTGTCCCATTAGGCCATTGAGATTGAATTTCCTCTAGTTTGTGCGCCCGCAGATTTTAATCTCTCTATCTCTCATCGATATTATTTGAGATTTTGCACTCCATTCGAGTTTTACAATTATTCACGCTTCGAGGCAATTTTGAGATCTTGCAATTCACATTCAGCGCCACGCCGAGAGACTCTTTGTAAATGGCAACGATTATAAAATATATATAAAACTAAACTCCTCCAATGTTATTGTATGGCTTTTCAGCGTGTTTCATGGTATTTCATTAATTTTCACTTTCAAATGGTGCAAAAGTGCCCAAAAGCACGTTAAAACTTCTACTTGAATGGCAAACGCGTGCACAACAACTGAGAAATAATCCCGCGAGGGGTGTTCAAATGAAGTGTTCTCCACTCTCAATTTTGATGTTATACATTTTCCATTCTGGAGGAAATTGAGAGTTGCTCCCAAAATTCCAATTGGCACGCCATAAAAAACGGTGTTTGTGGAATTTATTGAAGGACGAAAGAACAATTCCTTTGCGCTATATTTGAGCGAATTGTTGATTGATCAATTTCTAGCATTTCCCTACAATTTATAATCTTAATAATTCTATAGAATTTGTATAAAAGCAGTCTTATCATGGACTAAATGTGGGAAATGTGAATTCAAAGGCAACTGATAGCAACTGAAAATTATCAAGTACACTTGTGCTGGATTCCTTTGAATATATACGTATCTTCCTTGGCAATGTTTAGGTGCATTCGCAGTGCGCCCTAATGGAATTTGCGACAGGAGATTCCCAGTGAAATTGTATACCGTGTGAATTACAAACTGCACAAGTTGAACACCCTCATAATCCCATTTCGTCAGATCGCGTAATGCTATTTGCAAACTATCGCTTCGGTGAGATTATTTCGTGTATGTTGCGGAATTAAAGGTGCGGAAGCGGCACAAAAGAAAACCACCGCATGATGGTCTCGACAGTCTCTTTGGGAGCGTAGCACAAAGGCATCAGGGAGAGGACTCACTTGATTCCCTTCGTCTCGCACAGATGGAAGTCGCCGAAGATGCCCGTGCCCAGCTTCTCGACAATGCCCAGCGACTGTCGCGGGAACTCCTGCAGCTGGTAGTCGTCATCCGTGGAGATGGCATCCACGTCGCTGTAGGCGTTCATCGCGGTGGATGGGGTGGTGGGCGTGGCGGGCTTGCAGATTGCCGTGGCGGCGTAGTACTTTTCCGACGGCGGCGGCGGAATGGGCGGCGGCTTGGGGAAGATGTTATTCAGCGGCGGCGGCGTGAGGCGAACACTGCAGTAGCCGCCAGGGATTTTGGGTATCAAATCCTGCATGTGTGGCACAGCGTACTCCTGACACACGATGTCCGGCACATCTGCCATTGAAGAGCGAAATTGAGAAAAAGAGACGCCTCGAGAGCGACATGCAATGTGATATTCAATTGGAATCATAAGCAAAACGAGCACAATAGTCTCCAAGATGTATTCAATCATCTGGCGACTCTGGGGAAATGCCATCCGCAGCACATGAATTTTTGCATCTCCTCAGAAAAAAAGGACTTTTCGGGATGGAAGCAAAATTTACTGCCTCAGGAATGTATGACAAACAGGTTCTTTTTCTCTCCGAAAAGTTTCAATTTTCCAAAAGAAATATTCTAACATTTTATACTCTGATAAATTTCACAAGTTCCCAGGGACATTTGAATTATCTCATGACAAGTGCTTTTGCTCCTTAAAATCATTCACTTTTTAATCCATCATTAAAAATTTACAAGAAAGCCATCCATCGCCGGGCGCCTAGCAACATTTCCCCCGCTGAGGGAGAGTAAATTAGGGGTATGATTTAGTGGTGTCAGCGTGGGAGCTTGTCAGCGTCTTAATATGAATGACACACCCTCACTGCTGCTCGTGTTTAATTGCATTTCTACTAATTAGCATACCTTTCACGGATTCTGTCTAAATATCTTTCACTCGCTAGACACTTCGCTTTTTCAATTAGCCCCTATTTTCTGCACAGGCACTTGTCTTTTTTTTTCTTTCTTCCACCGGATGCTAATTTGTCGCTGCGGCCAAGCGCTCTCGGCCGATCGATTTGGGGCGACTTTCGGGTGGAATTTGAGGAGATTTCGGAGGGTTCGTGAGTGCTGCTCTCATGCAGATTAGCCGTGGGTGAACGGAGTGTAAGGTGGAATTTATTAAAGAAGTACTAACCAGTATAATCCGGAGTCACATGATGACGCTGCATATCATTGAGGGAGCAGCCACTTGCCGCACTTGTGTACATATTGACATTGAAGGGTTCATGGTACAGGCTGCTCTTATCTATCGACTCACTGTCGTCCATTGCCATCTGCAGGGCCAGGAAGAAGAGAGGGATGATCAGTGCGGGGCGATTTGATATGTGTGCGGGGAGCAATTTTAATTAATTCCACACATTCACACTTGCTCTCTCCTTTTTCCAACCATCAAAACTACCCCCTCGACTCTGGGTCCCCATTATTGCCGTCATCATTAGCATTTGGCGTGAAATCACCCTCTCACCCTCTCGCTGGGTACACACTTGAGGCTCATCCCACGGATGAGACCCCAAAAAACCGGGCAATTTACAGCCCCCTCGGCGCTACTGACAAGTGTACACAAACCAGCGCGAGATGAGTTGTGTGTGGGAAAAAGGGGTTGAATGCGCTACTCACTTTAATATTGCTGGCCGCTCTCTTATCCACATTCAGTCCATCCTGGTGGAGGCTGTGAGGCATGGTGCCGAGAACATCTGCCCGGCGATTGCGCTTATTTTTAGCAATTATAAACAGAATGATGGCAATCAACAGTAGAATAATTGTGGTCAATATCGCAATGATGACACCCACAAAATTCTGCTCCGGCTCCTGGTCGATGGGCTTCGGGGAGATGACTGTTGAGGCAAGAGAGAAAAAAAAACACATCACAGCAAAAAATGATTAGGGTGAAAATTTTATCAAATTAATTGTCACAAACAGCCTCCAAATGGCGTATCAAAGAGCGAAAAGGCATAATAGAGAGATTTATATTTTAGATGAGGCGAATTTCTTTGATTTCATTTCGGCTTTGGACTCTTTCCGTCGCCGCCGCACATTCCGCAAATCTGTGTGCGGCTCATTTGGGAGAAAAAGGGGGCAAAAGGCAACTGAAATTGCCACACAATATTTGACCTACATTTTGTGTAGAATTGGTTAAATTGAATCGCAAGAATTTCACTGTGCCACAGTTTGGTTTTTAATTAGTTTCACTTGTATACTTTTCAAGCATTCCCCCTCTAAGAATTTTTCCTATAATTAATGTATACAAGAGTGTGGTGCTTCAGCAATTGCCTGATAACTTTCTGCAGAATTCACCTGCGAAAAGTTTGAATAAACACTTCTTTTGATACTTCAAATGCAAGTAATCAACGGTGGTAATGAAGGGAATAAAGTAACTTGAAGCATCGTGAGGTGACCTAATTAGACGCAATTCAACCTGGGAATATGAGAGTTAAATTGCTATGACATATGAGTATATGCGTAATTAGCAGGACTTGTAATTACACTAATGATAATGCGCTGATAAAGGGAGCGTTGCTTGAAAATATATTGATTACAAGGCCTGGATTGTAGAATTTCAATCAAGGATGGTTATATGTGTGTGATGCAATTGCATCTGAAGTCAATCGTTACTGGAAATTACAGGGGAAATTATGTTAAGTATTCAATTTCCACAATCTTGCGAATTTTGCTAGGAGAAAATTCCTGGCAATACACCATCTGCCCGCATACAAGGGAGGCTTTCAGTCTCACTCTTTGGGAACATTAGTATATAGTGAAAAGGTAGGAACATCCAAGACTTTGCTGCATACTTAGTTACAAGGGTACGAAGGAATATTATAATACAAAACTTACTCTGTGGAACATGATTGCTTTTCGTTTGAATTGTTTGAACTTCATCTCTTTGTAGTGGATATTCCGGGGATGTGTCCGGAGGCAGTGAACTACCATTTGTCATCTCCTCGGTGAAATTTCCAAGAACAGGCGCTGCACAGGTGGAGAGAGAAAGAGCACGGATGGGAAGCATTTTGAGTTTAAGGTAAAATATTTATTAATACGACACAATCATGATTTATTCACAATAATTTTCCAACTCCCTCATTCCCTCTTCAATGATGCTCTCCAGAATTTGGGATTCAATGGATTTCTTCTCTCTGGCCCACTCGAAATCACAAAACTCAAGATATATATTCTCTCCCTTATTGTTATTTCAGCATTTCTCCTCGCCATGTCGTTTTGCATCATGTGTGTGTGTGTGGATTTATTGTGAATACACACTCGATATGCCTTCGAGGAAGGAGATCAATGAACAGAGCGTGTGTATTTTTGAGATTTTTCCACCCAATCTCTTCTTCACAAAAGCCCGTGTATGCCATTGAACAACTCCACAGACTCTCACCCTTAAGTCCCTTCCTTAGAAGAGGGAGATTTAAAATTTGTGTATTGGCAATTGTGCGATTGCATTTCTTGTGCATAATAAAGCATTCAGCAAATAAAAGCAGCACAAGCAAAACTACACGGACTAATCCGGTTCATGACCCCGCGACAGCGAAAGATGTCAGTTTATCGCGAAACCTCCAACTTTATGCAAAAATCACATGGCAAAGTGTACATAATAGAGTCAATGTGCACAAATTTATATAAAATAGCGAAATGGAAAGCTAAATTTAGACAGGAGAGCGCGCGCGAGTATGAGATTGAATTTATTCACTCTCTGCAACTGCGAGAGAGTGTCTTTTTTTGCCCATATAATTGCAGATGATATATGACATGTCAGTTTATAAGAATTTAATGAACGGAAGTCAGGCTGAAAAAGTACAAATAGACCAAGTTCCTCCGTCACTCTCTCACACCATTTCATCCATTATGCCCATTTGATGTGTAAAATGCCACAGAGTATTTGCATAAATGCACCGAACATTCGACTCGACATCTTACATAATTGCTCTTCGTGTTTTAATCTGTGTACAACCCACCCTTTAGCACTTGTGCACTCTCTCCCACTCCGCGTGGCGCGGCACCTTCCTTCCGCACTTAAGCCACCTACACTTGTGACAAATATTTGACGGATTATGTGATTTTTTTTTCTACCACGACCGCGTCTCAGCAGTAATACTCGAGAGCACAAGGAGTTATTTGATATTCACCGTGCAAGAGATCCAGAAATAATTTCAACATTTTTCTTCACTCTTTTTCGCGTCTCCACACCCACAAGAGTCTCCTTCTCTCCTACAGTGGCGCAAAAGCAAGTGTAAACATCGCTGAATTCAATGTCGACGAGAAATGATTGCTGTTTGCATAAGATTTTCCACACTTTTTTTCTTTCTTTCCAATTAATGAAGTTTTTTCAGTGACATCGGTTTTCTTCAAAGTGAATTTGTCCATTAAAAATCAAATAATAATTGTGTATTTTTGCCAATACTTTCTAACGCAAAATGATCGATCTCTTCCCACAGCAACTGTGCACGCGTAATTTACAATTCCCACCCAACTTTTCCGAATCCTTGTATATAGAATTTCCTTCGCCAAACCCTCCGTCGCCCCATCGAGGAGAGATCTTTCGAAGAACCCTTTCCGGGTGGAAAATCCATCCCACCCATGCCAGAGAGACGGTCGAGAGGATGAGGGCGGGAAAAATGAACTGAAACTGCTTATAATACTCACTCGAAACGAATGACACTTCACTCAGCATAATCCATCGGAGTGCAAAGTACAAGTGAACCTGCAAGTACTTGCCAATTCGGTTGTGGAGCTTCACGGTGACATCGCGAGCATTCTCCATGATGCTGTCTGGCATGTATGAATATTGGACAGGCTGCCCAGTGAAGTGTTGTCCGCCGACGCTGAAGAAGACGCTGGCGCGCACAAAAACCTGCACAACAAGTGGAGAAATCATCATTTTCCCCGCACACAAGCATACAACACAGCAAAGAACAAATAATTTTATGGGCGAAAAGCACGACATCATTGTCGCATCTTTTTATTGCAAAAACACACACACTTTCACCCACACTCCCCGGATTGCTGGAGCATCTTTTTCCATGTTGCAATTTCATGGCACGGAAAAATGGCTCTCCAGCCAGAATACTACATTTTGTAGGTATAGAGACAGGCTGTGTGGAGAGGATGTAATGACACTGGGTGAGACAAGGGGTGTATGCAAAAGGGGTGAACTTTTGCTGGAAATTTAAGAGGATGACGATAATGGTGTGTACGAGTATTTAATATCATGCTCTAACCTGAAAGGTCCATTAACTAAAACATTGCAGAATATTTTACCAAAGGCAGGTGACTAAATTTGTACACATGAATATGAAAGTGTGTTCCAGATTTCATTCTCTAAACATATACAGTCTAGATTAGGTTGTGTTTATGTTGAGGGACAATTGTGATTCTTTTTTTTTCTACAATACAATTTCACTTCTTTTCCTTGCAAATTTTCCAATGCCATTTGTGTGTGTAAATCTATCAAGAATTCTCTTTCCAATAAAACTTTGTGTCATTCCTCCCCAATGAAATGTAGATGAAGTCTCTAGCTAAAGTCCTGGCAAATGTCCTCATCTGCAATTTGCATGAGGCATCCTCTAAAACCCTCTGAGAGCCATTCGGAGTCGAAAGGCGGACAGGCGCAAAAAATAAAACCGAAAACAGAAATGTAGAAATGTCTCCGAGGGATTCCTCCATTGCGCCTCGTCGGGCGACAAGGTGATGAGTGTGCCATAAAAATGATATAAAAAGTCAAATAGTGAGGATGACGAGTGGTGAGGAAGTGGGGGAAATTTCAATTAGTCGCCCTCCGTCTGCCCATTTGGACGCCCTCACCTGAACATCCTTGCTGAACATGTTGTTGGTGTGGAGGAGCATTGAGGTGAAATTTCTCACAGTGTCGAACTCAAAGACCATCTCCACCGGTTTGCCAGCTCCACCGCCGAAGGTATCGTTGCGCCATCCAACCCATTCGTATCCTGAAATGAGAGCGAAGAAAGACCGTGAGTCGCTGGAGGAATGGAGGGGGACAGAGAAATCTCCTGCGGGAGAGACAAACATCGCATTTTACGATTGGGGTTGTGTTTATACACTGTAGAAATTGTACCCCGAGTGGGTCAGTGGCGCCATAAGGGCGCCCATTCGCCCCTCAACCTCACGCCATGGCGCTGTGTGAGGGTGGAATGGTGGCGAGAGAGCCGCAGGGAAAGTTTCCTTCGAAACCCACTCACCCCCCACCAATCGTTGCTACATTTTGGTGAGGGTGACAAAATGAAACGATTAACTCTTGGATTCACCTCATATTCCAAACACATTCATCTCCTTTTCTCCCTTTGTTTTTGGCACTTTCACAACCTGCAAAACTTCTGCCAAAAGCACGCCCGCCGCCGCCCCGCAATGATTCAGATGGAAATTTTAAATATTTATACACACCCAGAGGTTCTCGTCGTCAAGTGAAAATATATAAGTAATACACAACAGTGCAATAACAGAAAATGGTAAAAAGCCGGCTCAGTGAGAGAGCAGGAATCTAGCATTTCAGCGCGCGCGGGGTGTTTCTGGGTGGGGTTTGGCAAAGGTGTTTCTCTGCCATGGAATATTGGAGTATGTACATCGCCAGCAAAATGTCGCCATTTCGTTACTCCCAACAGGATGCTATTTCGACTGTAACTGTGGAAAATATGCCGTATTACACGAGAGGTGGAGTACACTGAATTTTCACTATTTTTCCACACGGCTCCGCTTTTTTCCCACCACCCAATCCATCTTTTCTCCCCTTCCTTTTCAGCGCGCGCGATCGGCAATATGTGTGAGCATATATGCAGTGTGGGGAAGTTTACACTGATAGGGATACATTTCCTTAGATAGTTTTTCTCAGCTTCCAGATGTCTTTTGGTGTAAGGAAATATTGCTTTCTGGGCTCCTTTTGACATCAGTCACTGAGTCGTTGAATGCTGAAGATTTAAAGTTTGCCATAGTGTGCTACATACATGTACATTCACCATGAATACAGCATGTGTCCTCCTCACGTTTCATAACTTACGTGAAGGAGTTTCGCAAAATTTCTCAATCACAAACGTTACGGCAAAATTCAGAATGGCCTATTTTGATGGGTCTCAAAACTCAATTGGAAAACCTTTAAAGGTATTGACTTTCTGACAAGATTCAGTCATATCTTTGCAATAATTTAAGTATTTGTGCCCTTCTTATTTCCTCATTGTTATTTGCAAATCTGAGTGTTTTCTGCACAATCTTTGCACAATTCTTATGTGCCGGATAATTGTGTATCTTTCTCACACTGAACCGAAGTAGTTTTCTGTGTGATACGGCAATTATCAGCCATTGCGGAGTCACTTGTGAACACCACTTGGGCCACTGGATGGCCACACAGTGAGTGCACTTGAGAGCCCCTCGTTTGCGACACCATCAATGAAAATGCTCCGGCGCTCGCGTGAGTGTCGTCGCCTCGAATCTGTCGTCAAATGCAGTCAGAGTGATGTCACGCCACTCATTCCAACATATAATATTGTATGCCATGCATGAGGAATGGCTGAAGTCGCCAGTGAGTCATGGGAGAGTATTTAAGACTGGGGAGAAAGGCTTTAAGGTCAGGCCAAAAGTGAACGAGCAAATTTACCCCGAAAGCATTCTTTTTTCACGCCGATTCGGGAATTGAAGGCAAACATTTCTGTGCCGTGTGTTGGCTCCGACAGTCGTACGCGAGGGTGGCAAATAAAATATTATATTATGCAGACAGGCATCGTTCCGACACACCGCGCATGGAGTGTAGTTGGTGGAGCAAGAGTGGTGAGCATTATAGAATAATAGCCTAGAGGCAATTCCGAATCTCATAAAATAGCACACTGAAGCGTGATCCTCCCCAGTCGAGAGGGTCCGAAAGAGGGAAGAAGAAAAAAATCACCCACACAGACTTCCATTCACCCCCCAATTCAGCGTCACTCACGGGGATTGGGGGGGCGAATGCTAGTTGCTCTTATTCACTATGGGGATTTGTGTGTAAATGCGGGTGTGTACATGGGGAAAAATACACGGGAAGTGAGAGCAAGGAATTTGAGATACGGCGAAAGGGAATATTTATAGAAAGGACACACCGTCATTAACATGAAAAATGCAAAAACTTTCAGTTCCCGTAAGACCGCCGCTGGGGCGAAAAGGACCTGCGAGACTGTCGCATCCTTAGCGATGCGGTTGGGATTGTGATCACACAAAAGGGATCCCGGCACACCCACACGCTCTATCCTCACGTACTACAATCTGTTCCGCCGCCCACACTTTGCCCACCCCACTCTCCCTCCGGAGGACGGAAGACGCTTGAATCACCTTTCACCTTTTTTAGAACCCATTCTCACCTCCCCTGCGGCGTCGCTCTCGCCTCAAGACGCCATAAAGTGGCGAGAGAGATGTGACAGAGTGACTTTGGGTGTTGCATTTAAATTAAAATTAATAGAGAATTAGAATTTATTTCTTATCATTAATCTTGGGTGCCCTTTTTGCTCCACTTCATCCGCCAAAGCATACACACACACACACACATGCACACGAGTTGTGGCAAGGCAAATGACCGTAAAGTGTGCAGAAAAATTAAATCTCTCCAGTGGCAAAGTCAATTTTGCGGTGCAGAGAAAAGCGGAAATACCGAGGGGTGACACACACACACCCACCCAAATGCCCTCCCGCACCCCTCTCAGCTCATGGTGCTAGTTAATAAGAAATGAGCAGCCATGATGTGTTATGAGAGGAGGTAAATTTCATACAACTCCGAATGAGTTGACTGAGTGAGAATGTTTAGAGAACTGATTTATTTAGTTAGCTTAAAGTGTGTTCTCGAGCAGAGCGCAATGAAATTGATTTGTAATGCAATTTTGGCATAATTTATGGTTTTCAAGGAGGTTTTGAGCTCTTTAAAGTTACAAAACAGGAAAACTGTAACATGTGTGCACACTACAGAAAATGAATGTAATTTCTACAAGATATGTATTTTCTCTCCAGCACAATTTTGTTAGATGAGAACAACCTACAAATTTATTATCTCTCTCTCTTCCTGAGACAGAGAGAAAACAAGGTGGATTTTAAAAAATGCATTCGTGTTTCTGAAAATTCCTTGTAAGCACTAAATATTTCGTGTCGTTTTATATCAATTTGATTATTTTATAACATCTACATCACACATTTTATGACCAGACAGACAGACTGACAGCTCGCTTCTTCTGGCGCGTATATTTACATATCTTTTCCGTGTGCGACACACCCCCTGAAAAAGCGTCAAACAAGTGAGAGGAGAAATGGGAAAAATATCATCTCTCACTCCACAATTACAACTAATAATCTCTCACTCTCAAGTTTGATTACAAAGTGCGCGGTGTGTACTTGCCGTTCACACACTCTTTCACTCGCTCTCTCTCTCGCCATCTCAAGTTAATAACTTTTCCAGCAGAAACGATATCACATCATTAAGTTTTAATGTGTTCCTCCACCGAAATCCCAACAACAAAGTCAAGTTTTGGGCTCATTCCGGTCGGTGTTCCGGCACTGAAGTGTATAACACGGCGTATTACATACATAAGACCAAACCATAAATTCTATTTGCGTCTTCGCCGACTGCGCTACAAGTCATAATGGGCCAGAGTTAGTTTTCAAAAGTGTAGATCGCACTTGGGACCGGATATAGGAAATGGCTGATTGGGGAATCCGATAGAAAAATCAATTTGATTCCCATGTTAATGCCTGTGCAGAGCCTTTGTGCGCCCCCTTTTCCGCCCACCGGGAAAATATGGGCCGGGAAAGAAAAGAACACTATATTGAGGCTTCCCCGCCGATAAAAATGATTAGGCATTGAAATATTGTGCACAATGATTTGGGTGGAGAGTAAACTAGAAATGTGAGTGACTCTCTTCAAGTGTGATCAAATGGCAATTAGAGATTCATTGGGCCATATTATACCTTTTCCCATTTACGAGCATATTGATTTGTGAATAAAATCACTGGCAGCAAATTTTGCAATGAATGCGGCACATAGAAATTGATATAATTGTATCTCCCATGTCGCTCGTATATATTCCCATAGAGTACATGGCCCAATTATTTATTTAAGAAGTTGAGAAATGGATGTGTGTGTAATGCCTGTGTAATTGAGCATTCTCCATAAATATTTATATTCATGAGCTTCGGCTCCACTCTCTACTCTCTCTCACACACACACACACTAATTCTCTTTCACAATTAAAATAGATTACCTTTACCAAAGCCATGAATATCAGTCCGAAAATTATCATTTCCTTTCTGGCCATCGACTAATTGCCCCAAACCGCCAACTAATCGATCGCCCTCCTCTCGGCCGTCGTACGTCTGGTCTGAGAGATCCACCTCCAGACCGCGCTGAACACCTTTCGGAATGCTGTACGATATCAGTCCCTCTGATGGTGTGCCAGCATGGAAAGATAGAAAGAAAAGAATATATCAGTTCACATCTTAGCTTAGCCTTGTATGATGGAGAAATGCAAATATTGTTGGTTGAATAACTCTTGCGAATGCACAGGGAAAAAGAGTCCTGTACTGTACTTGCGAAGGATTTTAAAACCCGTTGGCTGGACAAAGAAATCCATTTGAATCCCCAGAGAAGTTATTCTGCCACTCTTCATGGCTACTCTCTCGCACAGTTTCAAGTGCTCACTTCTAATCCTGCTGCCGCTATTCTTCACCACTTCGACATATTACAGCACGACACAGAATTCCAGGCCACTTTTTTCATTCATCGCTCGTATTTTCCATGGAATCCTTGAGTATATTTTCCAGGATATTATGTTTCCTGACCATGCAATACAGAAAAATCTACTTTTTCTCCACAATACGCGCACACTTCTCGGACTTTTCCTCTGGCTTGTTTTGGACGACTTTGCCCTTTTCCCACTTGAGGACACTTTCTCGGGTCAAATTCAGCTATTCGCCATGAGTGGATATTTAAGCAATGAAAGAGAGCACTTGTATTTTAGGGCAATGAATAATTCACCTGTTTGACATTTTGATTGAAATTTCCATACCTTGAGCTCGATTATCTCTCGTCTAATCCCCTGTTTTCCCATGGCTTCAACCGTCATCGTATATCGTGGAACATATTTCACTATTATGTAACACAATAGGTTTGGAAGAAGAAGAAGGGGCAGAAAAAATTGAAGATGATATAAATCGATTTTCTTCTCATCCGCCTAATTTGTAGTCAACAGAGCGATTGTGCTTGCTCTGTCTCTATTTTTCCCCGTAAACTTCATACTTTTTATCTCATTCACTTCATCCTTGTGTGCTTTGGCTTGGGCTTGTGGATGGTAAAAACGAAACACGAGCAGGTGGTGCAAAAGGCATATAATATCTCAAATAATAAAATTATGTATTTCATAAGGAGAGAGACGAAGATTTTATTATTGCATTATATTATGGGTTGTGTATATAGAAAAATATGGATTGTATTGTGTCTAAGCGCCATTCGGGAGATCTACTCAGTCATTCTCATGGCTGAGAAATCACTCTCCCTCCTCCTCACGACCAGGGATGTTTCGCCATAACACCCCAAAAGTACCGCCAACCCCGCGAGCATTGGAATTCTACTAAGATGCTGGTTGGGACTCCCTGAGGATAAGATTATTAAAAATTAAATTTCATTCCAGAAAATTTCACTTTAACTAATTCACTTGTGCTCTTTCCATTCCCATTGTTACTTTGAATTATACATCTTGCTCAGTATTTTCTCCTATTCTTCGCCTCTCAGCCGCCCTCCACTCACTCTTACCCTCTTCATTCTACCACTGACTTCTTCTTGACTCCTGCAATGGCGAAGGACAAAAGAAGGGAGCCAATGTGTAAAAAAAAATCTCTTCACTCCTGCCAGCACATATGACGGGGGATAAAAAAAATCAAATAGAGCCTCTAATTCCCAGTGACTTCGCTATTGTTACAAATGCCCCATAAAGTTATTGAATTTTCAACAAAAATGTCATTCAAATTACTGATTGACGTTTTTATTTATTGCATTTTCTCACACTCTCCACACTTTCACAAGCTCTAAACACTCCAATGTCTAAGGGTTGCTGGATTGCTTCGCAGAAGTGCCACGACTCGAGCAGAGAATGTAGAGTAGTGTGTGTATATAAATAAATATGACACATTTTCAATTTTTCATTTCATCTCACCTCTCTTAACCCTCTCCCGTGGGCGACTGTGAATAAATTTTCACACCTCCACATCAATTTATTTTCCCTGCAACTTTGTGGATGAATTCTTTCATCCACTGTATGGACTTATGCAACAATTTCTTGAGAGAATAACTTTCATCATATCCTTGTCAAATAACTCATGTACAGACGCGTGGAGAATTTCACTAACATGTCAGATAAATGTTCAGATTTCACAGCAAAACTTCCAACAACATAATGACAAAATATTTCAGTCAAGTTCCTTGGGAAATTTGGAAAACTTTTCCTTATATGAATAAATTCACACAGCTAAATATTCCAGGCTTGAAAACTGATTTTTCAAACACTGTGATAAGTTGGAAAGCTCTCTCTGGAAAACTCATAGAAATTCCACCCAATTTAATTGACTGATAAAATCATTTGATTGAATTACGGAGACAAATTTAAACTGTGGCCCACAAATTGGAGCAACTTAACAAGATAGAGTTTCAGATTGAGTTGGAGAAACTTTTTAATCAATTGACATTCTCTCATTTGGACAGCTTCTCTAAGTGAGCCCACAAAAAATTCATGAATGACAATTTGCCAGTTGAATTTAGGTGGCAAACACGCGGAGTCCCAGGAAATCTTCTCGCCACTGTACATAGCGTCATCTCGAGATGCATGGGCAGCTATTGGCTTTTTTCCTCCTTTCCGGTAAATTGAATTAAATTTCACAATTCATACCCAGAGAGAGAGATGAAGTGAGACGGCGCATCGGCGACGAGGGAGACCACAAGACATTTCAAATCAATTCTATGTTGCATATAAGGAAGATGGAATTAAGAGATGTGAGCGTCGAGATAAATTTATCAATTATAATTTCTATATAATGCTTCTTCTTCTTCGCCACACACTGTGCGCGATCTGAACACCATGGAGAGAATCTCAGAGCCAACGAAGAGCGCGCAAGTGGCCGAGAGTTACAACCACTTTATTAAATTAATAAATTGCCATTTCAGGTAATTATTTCTAAATCACTTTATATTGTGTATTGGCAAGTGCTCCATTCAAGTGTCTGCCTGAAGTATTCAACCAGCAATTTCCCCTCTTCTGCTTGCCATCTTCTTGCCCTGGCGATATTCTCTCTGGGCCAGTGACAGTGGAGAAGGTGGCAACATATTGTGCAACTTTTATTGTGTACTCACTCTGGAGTTTTTACTGCCACTGCTCGCAGTATCGCAAGTGGCCGATGGCATTTATTCTATTTCATACTATATTCTACTCACCATCCCAAATGCAGCCCACCACTTCCACGCGAAGGCAGACCGTCCGGTCGTACTGACTGTAGGGATAGAGACGTACTTTCGATGCAAAAATAATTGGCTGTAGATTATTCTCCACTTCGCTATACGTGTTAATATTTCCTGTTAGAATCTGCAATGAAACCCCCAGAAGAAAGACACACGTGAGTGAGTGAGTGAATGCGGAGGGTATTTGAGAAAGGAAGAAGTTGAGTAAATAAATAAAAATCAATAAATGTCGCCTGGGTTGGCAAATGAAAAATGCAAGAATATGAGTCAAAAGACGTGAAATAGTTGGCTCTCTCTCTATTTCGCTTTTTGCAAAACAAAACACCCGCAGCCAATATGAAATATAAGCAATATTATATATGAGAAAAAGAAAGGGAAAAATGGCACACAATGGGAAAAAGCTGAATTGCCATGAAAAATAGATTGTACCTTTCACGAGAAAAGTAATAAATTACCTATTTCCAATATCACTGCAGAAAAATATTTATGTATATGTATGAAGGATCCCAAAAACAGAGGAATATAGAAGGTGAATTTGCATGCAAAACAGCGCTGACAAGAGACATTTGAGCGACGAAAAGGAATTTCCATTGCATTTCTACACACTACATAAACTCCTCTCGAATTATTACAGCAAAAATCACATCTAATGCGTACATATTTTATTCAAAATTATGCACATTTCATGTCTTCTCCTTCACTATTTGGCAATAATAACATCCACTTTATGACTGTGGACGATGTTTGAGGTCAATGAATGAACTTTTGTCAATCTGCCAAATTGATTTTCCCGCACTTCAACATACCGTAAATTCAGAGGGGTAAAAAAACACCCCAAATCCTTTAAATGACGGTTTGTTAACTTAAATCTTCATGCATGAATAGATAACGTCCAGGCCTCTGCCATCTGTTCAAACACTTTCCTTATCAATCAATCTTGACTGCATGTTTGACGCTGTTAAATCTCCGGCACAGCAAACAATGCTGTGAAAAATGTTAACCAAAATTTTAAATATTGAACATGCGAGTCAAGCTTAATGTGTCAAGAAAATTGTCACTTTTGGTGGGTGTGTTTGTGTGAGTTTGTTGCAAACAAAGCTCTGCGGGCATGGATAAATTTCCATCAATTTAACATGAGAAAGTGCGCAGCCAAAGCAGGGATTTAGCAACGGCAGATAATAAGAAAATTAAATAAGCTTAGCTGTAAATCAGTAGTTTAATTAGTAGCTAATAATGAGGCAAATTGCGCAATTATGTGATTAAATAGCACACGCGCGCTTTGTTGACAAATTGGTAGAAATTGCAAGGAAAACAGGGAGAGGAGAGATTGATGATGGCGGAAATTAAAAGGGTGAATTGCAAATGACACGAGAATGGAGGAGAAATGGAATTGACACTCACCTCTTTGCCCTGAATATTTTTCCAGCGATACCACTTGGCGAAGCCGGGCCGCCAGTACTCAATCACATAGGCCTCGGTGTACTCCTGCCCTTGACCCTTGCCGAAGCGCCCCTGTGTCCTGATGGCCGTGATCACGTGCACTTGGAGCAAGTCAATCTGGAGATACTCCTTCAGGCCTCTGGACACCATATGCTTCGGACACCAGGCACCGCCGTTGTTATCGACTTTCAATCTAAATGTCGATGGGAAGAAGAAAAAGGGCAGATCAGACACGTGAGAAGCGGTGTAGACACAACATGAGTCGGGTGAGATAAGGAAAAATTGAGAGAGTAGAGAATAACAATAAGGAATCCCATGGAAATGCGGTGAATGCAGAGGGGAATAGTATATTCTGAAGTGGATCGACATAAATCAGGACAATGAGCCTAATTTACACACAACGCCAGCAACAATCTTATAAATATGTGCTGGGGCATAAGAATGCTCAAGTGTGTGCCTTCCTTGGCCTCACGCCCCACACACGGCCTGTCCCTCGAACTCCTTGAGGACTCCTCTTGACACAATCCACCCTCACTATCAGCTCGGAGGCGTTGGCGGGCGGAAATGTGTCTTACTGCGAAACACTGCATTAAACTGACACCGTGGCTTGACCCAGATGACGGGAAATTCCCAGAATTGTTTAAGAAATTCGTAATCAATTGCTTTGCAATTGAAATGCACGGAAAACTCCACGAATTCCTCCAGTTTTATAAATATATTGAATACTGTGTGTTACAATTATTTTGCAGCCCCACTTAAATGTCACCTGGACTGCGACAGCGTGTGCCATTTCTGGGGTAAGCCCGCAAGAGGATGTGTAATGCTGTTTGCTGGTGTCTAACATTTTCGCCTTTTTGGTTAACACATTCTTGACTTTTCACCATCATTATCGACATCATCATGGAGTGTCTGTTGGCGTCGTTTTATGTTGCTGCCTATATAAGTATATGCACATGAATTGTATGTCAGTCAGATGGTTGGATGGATGCCTTCACTTTGTTGCGCGCTCAAAGCCACCCTCTTCTCTGTTCTCTGCACACACTCAATTCTGTGCATTTAAGTGAAAAGAGAGATTCATGGGGATAGTGAGGCCGCATCACATTTGGAATACGGATGGGAGAATTCCTCAAATTGTGCTCTTCAAATGCTAACTTTCAACATTTAGAGGAATTTGTAAGATTCGATAAGGAGTATCTGTGATGTCTGACCAACAATAGAATCTCCCCCTTCTGCCCACATCGCCCTCGTCATCTTCTCTATACCCATTTTGGTATGAGGTCAAACCGCAATTTTCTTTATTGTGTTGCCTCTTCTCGCTCCTTTTTTTTCTTCCTCTCTATTTTTCTTCCACATACTTTATAAATGTCCTGAGGATGGTTTTTGTGGCGCAGATCTAACGATTTAAATGATTTTCAAGGGGTTGCCACTCGAATCACATATCACACGAAATCTTGTCAATATTGACTTTTATATTTGTAGAGACGATAAATTTTGACCCAAAACACCGCAATAATCAAAGAGGCACAGCATTGTTGTCTGCAACATTGAGACAATTTACAATTCTATAGCACTTCCTTCGGCTGACTTTTTGGCGCTTCTCGCAACAAATACACCACAGAATCTCAACAATTTCTTTTGATATGCACAGAATTACCTGTCAAGAGCAGAACATTTGCATTAATGGATTTTCCGCCATATACGATAAATGTATTTTGAAAAGTATGTCAATTTGTCAGATAAAGACGTGCGCTCACTTCGAAATAAAAAAAAAGAAGAGAAACGAAACACACTAAACTGATGGTCATTGGATTCAGATTAACCCTCTTCAGAATTTCTCCAACACTTCCCTTAACTTTGGCCACAGCTCGAATTGATTCTGGCAGATTGGTCGTAAAGCTGGCACAAACTGTCATCCATCGTCACATCGTCACAATAAAAATATAATTGGACTCACATGCGCAAGATGTCACATATGTTTTGACATAATCATCTGCTGCGCGTCACAATTTGTCTGTGCGTTGCTAACCCCTCGATGGCCTCTCACGCTCTCTCTCTTTCTCTGATCAATATTCTCGCGAGTAGAACCATTTTGCAATTACTGAATTCATCACCACCATTATTATCTCGTTCAGTTCTGCCACCAACAAATTGCTGATAATTATTCAACTTCTTCTCCGTCTCGCCAGACACACACTGGTTGAAGCTGATCGAGTTCTCAACTTTTATTTTTGCTTCTTTTTCCACGTGTTGCCCTATTATGTAAAGTGATACAAGTGTCATCATTTTCCTTCCCCGCGTAAATTCTTCTCTCATGAGAGTATTATAGCTCCAATCATACGTATATACATAAAAGGCTATTATTCTGCCTCCATGGAGGGAAAAAATAATTGGTGTGTCGATTTAATTTGACTGACATCAGTGTGAATAGATTTCATGCTGTTTTATCCTTCAATCTCTTTTATATGAAATAAAATATCAGCGAAAGACTTCCAGCATGAGGCCATCATGCGCTTAAAGCCTTTTCTTCTCCATCTCCCCGATTCTTTTATTCACAATCCATATTAGAGGAGGCAAATTCCCTCCTGTTCGGCCGTGCGGCATTATTAGAAGCCCGAAAAAAGAAGCGGCCGGAGAAAGAAGGAGAGAGAGAGAGAGAGGAAATCATTGGAAATAAGGAGAGATGGAAGAGTGATATTTGGTGTTTTCGGATGAGAGGCAATATGCGAATGCGTGGATGGATGTGGTGCACAAGATTTATGATTGACTAAAGGGAGAAATGTAATTTGATCTAAACATTTTGAAAAGAGGGCACCCATCATTACGATGGGTATTTGCATTTTAATCATTAACATTGGGCTTCACGTTTGAACAGCATGGCATATATAGAAGAGTGGATGCGAGAAGGGTCTCTGCGAAGGCGCACTATTTCAACGCTCTCTTCTTCCACGGTGAATTCGTTGAGTTATGGTCGAAGTGAGTCGAAAACCCGAAAAGACTCTGCGTCTCCTCTTGGCACGGGGGAGGAAAAAAAGGGAAAAAGCGTGAAAGAGTGGAAACGGCAAATGGTGAATAACATATTGCCGATGCCAAAACCAATTCCTCACCAGGAAACACAACCACCACTCCTTCGTCAGTACACACTTCTTTTTTTTTCATCCACCCGAATGCATTATATATTAATGTATAATGTATGTTTAACTTGAGATTTCCCAGATACAGCACACATCAGCATACAAACGCACATTTTATGCTCGAGATACAAGTTTTCAGTGTGCATTAGAAGACAAAAGGGGTGGCGGAGCTACTGAATGAAATATAACAACTAAACACTACACATTGTCTCTCCCAGTTCGATACAAAAGACCGAGGAGCGCGGGAGTCGGGGAGGTTTTACTGCCAAGGAGTACAGTGAAATATTCTTTCACGAGAAATAATCATATAGGGAAGCGCCATCGAGTCCAAAGGGAATTCTCTGTGCGGGAGCACAAACAGAGGGTGCATCGCATGGAAAAAAGTCTTGACAGGCATTGAAAGGCTGTGTTTGCGGAGATTCTCATGTTAAACATATCAATCAATTGAGTTTTTCCCCAGAATTACTCCTCTATTCATGACAACACGCGGAAAATTTGAAACACACGCTGACAAGTTGTCATGGCATCAGTGCGCAATTTTCCAAAGTAATTTACCTGAGCTCATAAGTAACACAAAAGATTCACTGTCTTAAAGTCAAAGAGAAAAAAAATTCCTCATTAGCTGTGCGTCAAATTGTCGAAGGATCTCAATATCCGTCACTCTTACAACATACAACAATATTATAAGACTCTAAACCCGCTTCCCATTCCAATGATCTCGCCCTCCTCTCATCTTGAGTGCAAGAAAAATATACAAGAAAACATAAACCAAGCATAGACAGATTTGGCTAATCAGCGTTGAACAGTCAATGTGGATTTATAGCGTCATTTCCAGTGACAAATGAGTGTGTAAAAAAATGTGCTCGCAAGAATTATCGCTGGTTGTATTCCGATGCAGGCGCGCACTTTTTTTTTCTAAAAGTGACGCGGCAGAGACGCCTTCTCCTAATGGAGCAAAGTGGCGCAAAATACACAAAAGAAATAATAATGTGAAAAAATAAACAATTCTCGAGAGGAAGTATGACATTTTTTTCTCCTCTTCCTCCACTCCGTCCACCCTCTTATTTCTTTCTTTTTCCCCGCCCTGCTCCACTTTAAAATTATTATTTCATTTCGCTTGTTACTTCATTGCTGAAATACAGTGGCAACAGGAGGTGTGGAGCCGCTGTTGGCCTTAATGGCTTGCACAAGTCGCCACACGTTGCAGGAACAAATCTAACTCATATTCGCCTTATTAGATGTTCAGCAGCACTATTTCTCCCCGCGCGCAATCGATGGAAAAAATTGTGTATAAATTTTGTGAACAATGCGAGGTTGAGAGAATAGCATATTAATTTATGATGCCTTAATTGAGGAAAAATTGATTTTAAATGTAATTCCTCAACAGGAATTTTGCATTATATTCCAAAATTTCCATTTTCATAATCAATTAAATAGACTCAATGGCATTTTAAAGTGCATCCAATTAATAAAGATAGCTACCCCAGAGTGGATTTTTGTGTACATTCACTGTATATTCATGGCTCTCAGACACCATATTGCAGATTAAATGGGAATATATTTGCGGTGTCATTACATTCGTGACCCACAGTGTAAATCCCATGCCACACACACACCGAAACACATTGTGGATGATGTGTAATTTTTCACTGGAATTTTACATTTCCCTCTCACCCATTCCCTCAATAAGAACAACAAATAGACTTTCTCGACGCGCGAGAGAGAATCCAACTTCAACCCAGTATAATTAGCAAGTTCACCGAGTTACCAGGCAGTATGTAAAGGGATATCGCATTAATCTTTGTCGCTTCATTCTAACGAGATTCTATAATGTGCGTGTGCGGTTCATGAAAAATGAAGGGCTTTTATTGAATATATATGACTTACACTCCGCCCTCTGCCAACCCCACATTTAGGAGCTTCGCCGCGTCGTGTTTTTAGGTCCAAAAATTTCGGTGAATCGGTGGTAGCGAAGCGAAATTTCAAGGTTCTCCCGAAATCGACTTACTTTAAATATTTACACAGACACGAAGAACTCCGTGAAGCGCTATTTTCTCAAGTATTCCTATCGAGACATTGTCCTCCCTCGCAAAACTCTTTGATGGTGAATCGATTTTTCAAGCTCTCGTGCTCAATGGCAGACCAAGTTTACAGTGAGGAGGTGTATTGTCTGCACCGAAGGGTTTTCCAGGGATGTTTTCAGTTGGAAACTGTTAGATTACATTAATTAAGATTGTACTCTCTTCCGTTCAGCGGAGGGACAATCGAGAGTTTTCTTCTGACGCTTTTGAGGACTTTAAAGAAGTTGAAACATCCTATAAAATGATTAAATTTCCCATCAAGAAAAAAAACTCTCAATCTCAGAAAGGTTATTTATAGTCTGTGGATGAAAACACTTTTGCTCTCCAATGCAAACCGTGTGTAAAACAATAAAAATTGGAATCACAGGGACAAAAACAGGGGAGGAAAGGATTTCTCACCCAGCGCCACCCCTTTTTTGCTCCTAGAGCGAGGGAAAAACACAAGACGAAGAAGTCACTTGAATGGCTTGTGAATAATAAAGAAAAGGAATTTTTTAGTGGAGAGTTTGGTCTGCGCGCTGATGAAAAAAGTCCGCGCGCCGCGAAGCCAAAGGGAAAAACCGTGGCTTGAATGAGATGGGAAAAAGTATGGAAAACAAATGGGAAAAAATGTTGGTTTCACATTACAAAAGTCACAACATAGCGTCGACTACCCACAAAACAAATCCATAAATTTAATTATGTCTTTGTTTCATCGCTTTTTCCATCCCTCCAACCCATGGCTTTGTACCCTCTTCAAGCTCTCTGCCAATCCTCTTGGTTTTTGGGCTCCTTGTCTTTCCCACCCACTCACACACACACACATTTCAATATCAACAAGAGAAGTACACACTAAGTTTATAATAAACCAACAATATGTACTTAGAAAGAATTCATTTCACCGTACATCAAAATAATACAAAAGATTTTTGTTCTCCATTCAACCACCTCATTGTGAGGACGCCTCACACCCTCCCTCCCTTTCCTGCCCAAATTTTATATTATCTCATCCGACATTCTTCTAAAATACACGCACGAAACTAATTTTCTTTGTGCCCAATGTGTCTCCCGCACAGGATCTCTCTTCAAAATTTAATTACAGAGCCACACAAGGGACAATGGTCCAGGAAGGCGGTCACAAAAAAATGTACACACACACTGTCGAGCCCAGCCGCAGTGTGACAGTGTGTCATTCATTAAAGTGCTTCGGGAGCGGGAATTAATATTTGCGAATGAATAATGCTTGGGGAAAATTCGCTTACCTAGCATGCTGTGGTCCCACATTGCCGATATCATGAGCAGAACTTGCTGTTATTTGAAAATCTGCAATTGCTCCAGATTCCATACCGAGAGGATTCTTGCATTTTGCTGCAAATAAATATAGAGAATATATTACAGTGAGTGCCATTGTGAAAGAGCCAAATTGCACTGATTGTTTACACAAGATAGCACTATATTGTCTCCATTAAATAATTCGCTGCGATTGAAGATATTTCCGCCATTGGCTGTCAAATGGAAATAATAGAGTTTGCAGAGAGATGGAAATAATACACAGGACACACCAGAGTCACTTTGATTGAAAGCGCACCATTGGTGCTTTTTCCCATCCAACTTTCTCATCCCGCAACTTTCGAAAAACTTTCCTCCGCAACACTCACGCTCTTCTCTCTCTCTCTCTTCAATATATGATAATTAGGGAATTTTATCGATTCCATTCTGCCTGATAAACAACTACTTTTCAACTTGTCCAAATGCCCCATAAATTTTCTATGCTCTGTTTTCTTTCACATTATGCGCTTTTGAGCAATTTACGTCTCAACATGAAGGAAACACATTTCATGCAATAACTCAACTCCACTATTAATCAGCGAGCAACGCTGGAATTGCACTCAGGGATGGTTTTGGGGTCAAACTTGTCGTCAAGTTATCACCTCAGACCGTTTATTTGCACTCCAGATACCTTCACATTTTAATTTGCTATGTCTAACCACGACTAGAACTCCAAGGCGATAGTTTTTGAGCGCCCTTTGTTGGAGTGCATTTTCTCGCAAGAGTCTCCAAATTCTGTTTGTAATTAAAGTGCAATAAGACTTCCGGCAATCTGTGCCGGATGATTTTGATTTCTTTCAGATTGTCCCCTAATTGCAGATTGGCGCTCTTCCCCCCTCTCTTGTGTCCTATAGATATGATCAAGTGAAGAAGTACAGTGCACGGCGCCGAACGAGCCAAAGTGATATATGATGACGCTGTAACCCAATATAATATTTAATTTTGCTCCCCACGCTCTCTTATCTCATTATCTCATTATAGTGGAATCCTATAAACAGTCAACGGGGGGATCTAATTGCCTTTTTCAGCTGGGCTGTTAATGAATTTAATTATAAATATGCCACCAGCACACATACACCAAAGTCAATGTTGCCGGCGAGTGCACATCTCATCTCGCTTCCTTTTCCTCTCTATGTGAAATTTCTTTTATGCTCTGCGATCTCTTTGGCTGCTGCCTCCCTTTTCCTGGCGCGCAATTGCTCATCTCGTGCCGCCTCCAATGTGCTTTCCTCAGGCTGCATGCGCACATTTCTCATCATCATTGCAACAAATATTCCGCATGCGAGACGCGCGCGAGAGGAGGAACTTTGCCGTATTCCAGAGCAGTGCTATATATAAAGTTGGGTGGCTTTATTTGCATCCTTCAAAAGAAGATCCTCTATCCCATTAGGAGTGAAAATGTAGATGAGGTTTTTCCCCAGCTCCCATTCGCGCGCTCTTGTGAAGAAAGTCTCACCCATAGAACACATGTTACCATGTTACTTTCATTGACAACTCATGTTTCTTAATTACCCACCCGTCTTGAGTTCTCTGTACACACATTCCCCCTTCGTTCATTTCAAAATTGCATTCTTCATATCAACAACACAGCCGCGACAGAGAGAGAGAGAGAGAATATTTCATTTACAATTTTCGTATCCACTTGGCATGTTGAAAATTGTAAAGTGTGTTAGTTTGTGATTTATTAGCATTTTTAACATCATTTCACTCGCATTTTCTTTTGCACACACAACTTCTTACACGTTCGCATCCACACAGATGGAAACTTCATGCTCTCATTTTCGTAAACTAAAAAATCCCTACAATAAATCCACATTATTATCCCCAACATCAGTGAATGACTCTCTTCGCTCTCCCTCTCTTGTCTTCTCGGAATTCTGCTCTGGAATAAATCAGGGGGACAAGATCTGATGAGTTGAGGACAACAATCCATGCAGTATTTTAAATATTTGTCTAAATGAATTATGGGAATGTTTGTGCTCATTTACTAGGTGGAATTCCATTTTCAGTTGGCATTTAATGAAAAACCTCCCTTTGAGGACATTTCTCAGCACATGACAAGCAGGGAAAAGAGAATATTCCGTCACTTTTACACTTCGACGTAATAGGAAGTTTTATTTTAAAAGTAAATGAGTGAAGAAAGCTCTCTCCAAGAGCATATTTTAGTTCTGGAATTGAATTTTCTTTTGGCTAAAAGGTATTTTTTAACATTCTTTCTCTTCAAATTATAACTTCCACTTGCTTAAAGCTAATTTAATGCAGTTTTTTCAGGAAAAACAAACTATTTAATTTTTAATGGGCAAAATTCTAAGTAAAACATGAGAAGTTTGAACATGTAAATTTTCTATGCTTCTACAATTTTTGCTTGAGTCATTATCTCAAAAGAAAATCTGGCGGCAAATTAGCCAAATAGTCTATCGACCGCTGCTGGCACAGAACATCTGTCAACATGGGCGTTTCTGGCCCTGACTTTTGCCTCATGATTTGTTAGTTGATTCCACAGCACTGATACGGCGAAAAATGTGAATTTGAATTTCTGAGATGTTGGCCCGCGGCTATTTGCCCCCTGGAATCAATCTCGATGCTCTTTGCATGCGAATTTTTTCGCTTATTTTAGGGCGTGCGCGCGCAATGTTTCACTTCCAACCGTGATCTGAATGTGAGCGTGTGGGGAAAAAAGTTTCATCACTTCCACGAAATCAAAAACCACGGGGTGTTTTGTGCAGCCGCACAGAGTGTGCAAAATGTATTGGGCTGTGTAATGGATATTTGGTGCGGGCGCGAAAGGGAAGACGGAGATTTGCGCGCCACTCAAATGGGTAAGGAGAAGATTGCAAACGGGCCCAGAGAAACCTGCTATCCTTTTGAACCTCTTCATCATCATCATCTCCTTTTCCCGCGCCTCACGCGCGGCCCATCTGCTCTTTTTCCCTCTCGGCATTTTCTCGCGCGCGCCTCCTTTCATTTTCCTCTCCGTCAATTTTCCAAAGTTGTACTAAATTATTAATGTGTTTCACTTGATCAAGACAACGTTAAATAAGAATAATAATAATAATGGGAAGCAGAAACATTGCGAGCGCCCCAGAAATAGTCGATTAGTCATTCCTCCACCGACTTCTCCTGATCTATTTTGATGGACTCGCGCTCTCGCTTTGGGAGTTTGGCAGGAAGGGCGCGGATGATATTGAAAGGAATGGGAAAGAGGCGAAGTGATTCTCAATGAATACAAAAAACAGACACACAAAATGATTATTAGCGTTTAATCCATTCATTTTGTATTTGAATAAAGTTTACGCTATAACTTTATGGCGGGCACACAGATTTTATTGCTCCTCGAATTTAATGGACACACAGAGAGAAAGAGAAAATCACGATTGTAAACATTTTCGCTGTCGTTAAAATTTTCAAACTAATTCATTTTCCCAGGACCGCGTGCTCGTCTTCCCAACCATTCTTCATCCCTCACACCACCCACTCTTATTGATTTCACACCCCCTTGCCGCCCGCCAAATTGCGGAATGATGAGAAATTTTAATAATACCTTTTCCACCTTTCCTCCGTAACCTTTGCAACAATTTTTTCCCCCTCTCCACTCTGCCAAACACATTATTGATAACCAGGAAATTATGTTGTTGATACACCAAGACGAGAGAAACTGCAATAATAAATTTTCTCCTGAATTTTAATTCGAAATTCCAAAGGCATGTTTGAAAGCATTTTTCTCCCTCCCGTTGTCGTATCTCATTGAGAACATTTTAGGTGCACAAAAGGGAAACCAATACATCACTATGCATACTTGAGGGGGTTTCATTTTGACTAAAAATTGTACAAAAACTCCAAATTCACTTTGAATAGCTATCAAATTTTGGTGGTTTATCGAAAAATGGTTGCAATCTGAATACCTTTTCATAAATTCCATTTTTCTCTTTAAAATCAATATTTCGTGTTATTTGAACATGGTGCAAATTAATTTTTTTTTTCACCCACTATTCACCGAAATAATTAATATCCAACCAACACTTGTCTATGTATAGTGTGGTATTTTGTCTCTATTTTCCACTCAATGAATGGTAAAAAACTCTCCAAAAATCAATGGTTTCACCTCTCATGGAGTGGCAAGCCCTTTTCCCCATCCATATATTTTTATCCATCTCCCGAAAAAAAGGTCTCACCATAAAATACAGGAAGGTGAACAAAACGTAACGAGGAAGAAATAATTGGTTTGGACTTTTGAGGCTCTCTCTCTCTCTCTCACTCTCCACCTTCTGCCAAAGTCAACCATCTCAACATATTGAGCTTCAACGCCAAGCGAAAAAAAATGCCCGAGCGAAATTGACCAAATCTCTTCTTGATTCTTTCAAGCACACGCGAATACCAATTGCATTTTATTGTACATTCTTCTCTGGCACTTCTTTTCATTTACATGCTCGATGAATTTTTCAAAAATCAAACCTCTTCTTCGTGCCACACTTTGGCAGCGCGCATGATTTCAACCCATAGTATGTTGGAGCATCGAGAGGTTCACTCTCTTTTAACCTCCCCCGGAATTCATTCACATGGTGAAGCCCCATGCAAAATGCCCCAGCATAAGCCATTGCAAACCGGCCTCATGAATTTGTAAACCTCTTCCGGATTGAAATTTTTCCTCAATCTCTCTCTCGTGCCACTTTTTTTCTGCCCCATTCCCATTCATTCTACATTTATAATTAGTTCTGCATTTTAGTAACAACTCAAAAATTCATATTCCACATCCTCTTCCTCCATTTCCTCTGCGCCACATTTATCATTCTCCGTCCGAATAAATCGAAATAATCCGATTTAAGGGAAGTCCATCAGTCTGGTGAGCGATTGTCCATCCTCCCCCCAAAATGGGGAACATTTCAAGGCACTCCGATCGCGTAATCCCGGAGGTTTTGCGGGGGTGGGAGTGAATTTGCGCCGAAGAAGACAACCCCATTTTCCGGGGTGTAAAATATTGGCAAAACCCAAATGTGTCTCATATCCTAATCCACTTACCTTGTGGATCGTTATATTATGGACAGACATACAAATTGAATTAATAATTAATGTGTGTAATGTGGACATGTGAGAGAATCCACTGAGTGGCTCATACATTAATAAAAATATCACAAAATTCTTTGTACAGCGAGCGTGTCAAAGGCTAAAATGTTCTTTTGCCCATGTATTTTTTAGTAGGGCACCATGAAGAATTGTCTTTCTCTGCTTTATTTATCATATCCTAAAATGTATTACCTTCACGAGCCACGAACTCTAATGGGTCACAACATTCTGGTCTGAATTTATTTTTCGGACAAGCTGCACTAACTTGAGAATTGTAGTCATAGAATTATAGTTTATCTTCTCAAATATATAGACTCATCATAATACAGAGCAAGTGGAATTTGGAGCGCAAAATCTAATATCTATCGGATCTAATTGAATGTTGGCTTGCGTTAGTGAAAGATCTCGAGAGCGTGATATCATGAATGTTATCGATAGAGTGAGCTGATAGTGCGCTGAGGCTATTGTCTTCACCATATGGATCATGGTTGAAGAGAGTTGTTGAGGAGATTTGAATATTTACTTCATTAAGAATCTCAACAGCACAGAGGGATGAATTGTATTGCCAAGCAAAGGGTGTGTTTACACCGATAATAAGTCGGTACTTCCTCCCCGAGTTAAATTACCTTAATAGTTTGGAATGGTTGTTTGGGAGTTGTCAGCAGTTATCATACCAACAAGTTGAGTTTTACGACACAGAAGACATCTTGGATTGTTTACTTTTCAACCATGCAAACGTGCAAAATTAGGTATTTTCATGGGGGAAGATCAATTCCACTCTAAAAAACTTTGATTAAATCTCCTTTTTGTCTGATGGTTCATTGAAATAAGAAAAAATGTGTCAGTCATGTTGAGCGCACAAAAATTCATCTCTCCACGTCAATTTCCCTCAGACAGCCTGGCGTAGAATGAAAGAGAGACGAATCAGAAAGCATAAAATCATCCTCTTACCGAGATCTAAAGCTGCACCAACTCTGAGATGTGAGATGAAGAGCCAAACGGAGCCAATGGTGATGAGTTGATGCAGTAAATTCGCTGATTTTGTGATCGTCATCTTATTACCATGTATGTAAAAATTGGCTGAGAGATGCTCTCGTTCAATCCAGCTTCCAGCTCGTCTATTTATCTTTCACCAACAGTGGCAATTGCATTTCTCCCGCATGACACTCATGGCGACGCCGACGCTCTGTCGTCACCCTTTTGCCGCTCACCTGGAAAGAAGTTGTCTGATGTTAGTGAAGTAGCAATGTCGGTTGGAATGGAAGCTAAACAAGCAAATGCCGAAGGAGGAAAAAGTGAAAAGTATTAGAGGAAAAATTTAATTACACACCCCGACTTGAGCTCTTCAGTACAACACTCTATCTCTCTCTCTTGCTCCCTTCCGGTGAGTGCTAAATTGATGTACAAGTGCCTTTTTTCATGCCCTCCCTTTATTATTAAATTAAAGAAAAACAAAATGCGAAAATATCCATTTCCCGTGGAAATACATACACACGTAGAATACGTAATGGAGACGCCAGAAGGATTTGGGATTTGCTTGATGTTGGGAGAAAGCTGGATTGTGTCGGTGGGTTGGGAGCAAATTGGAGGATAAATGAGTGGAGCGGTGGAAGAGACAGAGATGGAAAATTCCCTGCCAGTGTGTGTGTGTGTGTGTGTGGTGTAATTTTCCGAGAAACAGTATGCCACAACCGTGGAAAAGTGCTTCCAATTCCATCCCTCGTGGAAATCTCTCTTGGGCGCAACCCACCCCACACGCCGCCCAGTCGTTGCCAAGAGTGTAGTACACAGTTGAACTGGAGCGGCAACAAGTACAGAAGAGCATTTCGACAGCGTCTCACTTCAATACTTGCGGAGATACACACCCACACAGCCACAGAGGCGGCAAGAGAGTCTCCAAAAGCCACCCCATCTGAGCAATTGCTCAGACCCTCAACACGAACTGTGGCTCTGCTAGTCTCGCCCGCACAACACTTCCTCACCAACAGCACAGAACTATCACAAATTCAGACGCACTCGCCTTGTGTACAACTTTTCGATTTCTCAGTCCACTTTGCAGTCTCAAGTATGTTTACTGAAATATGGTCCGCTTCCTTCGCAACCCCCGAGAATGTGAAGCTACGCAGAGAATTCCGAAAATCACTGAAGTGAAACTTCGTCACTACATACTTTATTGCTTTGCTGTTATAGAATGTATTTCTCAGTAAAAGTATGAACGCAAATATTCAACCACACACCAATTACATCAGTGACAATCCCTTAAATCTGAACATTTTTACATACATACATTTTGGGGTAGTTCAAGGGAAACTTTGACTGCTTAATATCCCCAAGATCAATCGCCTAATCAAGCGCTTAATACCTCGTCTATCTTAGTCAATAGAAGACACAGAGAACAGACAGCCAAAGAACCTTGAACCCAGATTACGTGACTTTGAAAGCAGCAACAACTTCCCGATGTTCACATATTTGATTTGTTTATGGTTATGGTTCGAACATTCATACATTGAGCAGATATATCTGTTTGGAGAAGCTCACGCGAGCAATTTGAGTAATGTCAATTAGTTAAAAATACGCTCAACATCATGTTCAATGCTACTGAATTTCATAATATTCTCCTATTTATATCACTCCTCAAATGAAATCCCTTCGATTATACTTAATTCGACACAGAATAAAACGTTTTAGATCTCCAGTAAATTAGTTACATGTATCCTATAGGATACTTTGCGAGGCAATTCATGGAAGTGAATCCTTTTGCAAGAGGGATATAATTGAGCGTTAATCTGGAAATAATTCTCAATTAGCCCGCGAACACTTGCGCCAGAGTGAACATAAAGTGCATTGAGCGATTGGTCAGAGACTTTGCACATATATTACAGCGCAGCGAGGAAGAATAGGGACGCTGAGATGTGAGGATAATGGTGTGGAGCTCAAGAGCAGAGAGCTCAAATTAATTGATTTGGCGTATTGTTGTTTTTATTTGAACATATGTGGCTCTTACATTTGGATTTCAAGCTATTTATACGACACCCACCACCCTTGTCGACAAAGGGGGAAAATGTCGAATGGGTCGTACAAAATGTTCCATATGTGTGCCACACACTACCCCGAAAATTCTATACACAGTCATCCCTTATAATCACAATGAAATTGCAACCATTTGAGCTGAACACACCGCCATGGCGACTCTCTCACCCTCGCGCCGAGCCAATTGATTTGCATTTATAGACATTTCTCGAATCGATTGAATAATTGAAAATTTATGTGAAACTTGCGATACACTTTGCATACATTCACCATATCATTCTCTCCTGTACATACTTTTGCACAATGTGCCACCACAATAGTTCGTTCCACTTTGCCCCACTGCACGGGGGGGGGGGAATGGGGAGGAAGTATGGAATTGAATATTATTAATACACTGTCGTTGAGTTGACAGCACAAATAACCGCCCTGACTGACTAGCTTGACTACCTATGGATGATTTTCACAAACGAACTTCCACCTTCCCATGCCAGTGTGCCAAAGTGGTTCTGCCGGCCGACAAGCAGAGCAGGAAGACTTCGTTGGACGCTGTCAAGACTCCAAGTGAATCACAATTCAGTCCACCGACAGCACAGGTAATTTCATAATCAAGTGTTTATAATTTATTATTTCACACACCCGCATAGCTTCGTCGGCTAATGAATGCACAAACAATCTAAACTATCGATTGCAATATTGTTCTTCGCGCGCGCAAAACGGGTTCCGGCAATAATATCAACATTTCTCACAGCATATTCAAACCGCCCCCACGCTGAACCCTTTCAGCACAGAAGCCAGAGTCACCCCCCGATAGACCGATATTGGAGGCGAGATGGTAGCGAAAAAAAAACTCACCCTCAGCATACCATTGAAACTATAATATAGTGAAAATGTGTGTACTAGATATTCCTCTAGCAAATTCTGATTGAATTCAGTTCATTTAACCGAATTACCACCGTTGAGTGTTTGTCTGTCATCATTCAACCAAAAAACTACTATGGATCAATATTTCCACCCTCAGACATGGCTCTCTCACTCTCACCCTGTTACACATTCCACACTGCGGCGGGGTGTGCGACAGAGACCACACCCCGCCACACCACGGCGGAGTCCTGCGGGCTCGAGAAGGACGGCGAGACTGGAATCCCGGCTGCCTTGTATGGGTGATTCCTCCCTTTGGATACCGACACCGATGCCACGATGTAGTGGTGTCTCCGTGTGCAAAATGAAGAGAAATTGTGGGGCGCTCTCTCTCGAGGGTGGATGATTTCTCGATGGGGAGCGTGTGTCTGTGTATCACCTTCCCAAACTCAACTCAAACCCCACCGGGAGCAGAGAGGGAAGGTAAGTAGTACTTTTCGCGCTGCACGATCATCCATAAGTAATGCACATTTGCACTCTTAATGGAAATTATTATACTTGGCGATTCAATTCACGTTATTTTCTGTACTCTCGCTGGATTGTTTGATCTGCCCTGTGTGTGCAGTGGTTTATTTGGACAGAGCACTCAACCGTGTCGCGAACCGCTGAAACATGTCACAGGGATGGGCCGCGATGAATGTCCAAATTCCAACTTTTATGCAGCTTGAAGAGAAGAATTTTTATGCTCGAAAAAACAGTGTAAAATATTCGAAATGTGTAGTTGTGACACGAGCATAAAGTTTTGATTGCAATGAATGAATAAACTGAGTATCGCTATCACTGCCATCCATGCAAAATAGGCCTTGATTGGAAGGAAATATATTAGCATTTGAACCTTGATTTCACCCCTCAAAAGTCAATCTTTGACTCTTCACTTCATGCCCTCTTGATCAGCAAGATGATCGCCAAGATAAGACTCGAAACCACTCAATTGATTGATCGACGTATTGTTAAATGAAGGAGAAGAAAAAGCGCGATATTAGCGCGATCTCTGACCATTCATCCCTTAAGCCTAATGAGTCTGAGGGCGAATTTGTGCCATTTGGCGACCCTCTGAGACTCTTCGAGCACGGAGAACGCATTGAGGTGGATGAAAAATTCTCTCCCCTCGGCAAACGCACTCACACAGGTTTCAGATTGCCAACGTAGTCAGAACATTAGGGGGTTGTTCACATGAATGTATGGAATGTTACATACATGCATTCATGCCGTCGCTCCACAATGTTGAGACTCACGGGAAGAATGAATATTCGGGCGGGGACGTGGAAGAGCAAGTCAGTGGGTGGCTGCCGAGAGGTTTGGTGTCTGTGCGCGCTAGAGTTGTGTTGAGGCGAAATGTACCCTTTTTGCCAACGAGGGGAGAGGGTGAAAAACCGAAAAAGGTAATGTACATTGCTCTGTATGAGAAATATATACTTGGCAGTTTATGTGGATTTTCGTGTTTCAGGTAGAGCGCAAAATTTTATATCCATATGTCGAAAGTAATAAAAAGTGAAAATATAGCTGATATTGTTCAGCGGTGGGAAGGATTTTTATCCATGAGTGCGCGACTGTGGTGAAGAGGAGAAAAAAAAAGCTTTTCACGATGGGGAGAGAGAGAGAGGAGTAAAATTTGCATGATGCCGGGGACACCGAAATAGCGTATAACGCACATTGTAGTAAAATGCCAGTGGAGACGTGAAAAGGGGGTGGCAAAACATTATTATTATGTGATATTACTATTATTACTATGACGCCTATATTGCTATTTTAAGTCATTATTTTATTTTCACTCCTCTCTATGGGTAATATTTTGTGTATGAGCAAATTTCATTATATTTCATAAAGCGCACACAGCTTCCCTTTCTGCTCCCGCACACACTCCGCATACACCTAGAGCGCGCGCCCTTCGTGTGACAACAAAATGATGCTTGTGAAATTATGCAAATTAATTTGAGAATAATTTAATCCCCATGTGAAATCATATGAAACTTGTTACACATGCCCCGGAGAGACAGACAAAAAAGTCAACCCCCAAACGACGATGAGAGTTCCTCAATTGAGGGAAAATCGGTGGCAGAAAAACCCAGGGAGAGGAGATGTACAAAAACTCTCACCCAGCACATAACAAAAGAGCGAGGAAGAAAATATCAATTTTCCATACAAGACATTTCTGTGTCAAGTGACGCCCAGAGTTTTTCCGTCGAAGGAGGAAAACTGGAGTGATGAGGAAAAATCACAACCTTTCTCAATCTTTCTGTCTTAACACCACGACCAGTGGCCG